AGGCCATGGTGAACTTTAGCCAGGACACAAGGGTAATACTCTACTCTTTTTGAGATACACCCTGACAAACAGAGAGTCAGGACATAAGTTTCACATCTCATACAAAGAACAGCAGCTTTTTTACAGTATAGTGTCCCCATCACTATACGGGAGCATTAGGACCCACACAGACTGCAGGGTGAGCGCCCCCTACAGGCCCCACTAACACCAGTTCCAGTAGAAACCTTAGCTTTCCCAGGAGGTCTCCCATCCAGATACTGACCAGGCTCACACCTGCTGAGCTCCAGTGGGCTGCCAGTTGTGAGTAGCAGGGTGATAGAGCTGCTGTTCGATAATACATCTCCCATGCACCTTTCAAACAGACACCCAGCAGAGCCAGTTCTAGCAGTGGGGACAATGAAAACATGAAGCTCCACAGTTCTTCCCTGCTGGCTGTAGCCTGATGAAGATGCCAAGAGTTTCCCCAGGGAAAAGAGGGAGAGGGGACAAGGAAAAGGACAGCTTGGGTGAGATTTAAAAGGCATCTTTGGTTGGTGAGTATCTTTATAAGTTTTTTCTAGAAATATAATTTCAGGTGTTCTTATTTTAAGCTGATGAATACTGTGGTTGCTTCTGCTGTGCTCATGACACAGAAATACTGCACTTCAGACGCACTGAACATGAATGACCTTTTGCTAGGAAATAAAAGCTAGAAAGTAAAAATAAACAGATCTGCTCATTAACTGCAACTATGAGACATGAGCAGGAATACCATAATACCATAAATGGAAACAGTTTTTGATGTGCGTTATTTATGTTTGTTTTGCGTCCACCTACAAACAGTTGGACCAAAACACAGTGGCAGTCTGAGATCTTTTCATATCAAAGCAAACCAGTTTTGAAGTCCAGTCTTTGGAACTTCCAAAAAAAGGCCAAGGAATGTTGTAAGAGGCGTTCAAAGGAACTGACAACATTAACATTGTTTGGCTAATTACTTCGTTTATTTTCCATACTACTATATAACCTTTCAGCCCACAACAAAGTATACAACGAACACAAGGTGTGCAATGAAAATTCCTCAATTGTTTTCATCCACTTCCATGCTGTGGGCTATTTTCTTCCAAAATCTGTCATTCTGCAACCGGTGCAAAAATAAAAAAATACTACAAGAAACATGAAATAAAAAACCTTAATTGGCAGCGCAAGAGTAATTAGCATGCGTTGTGAGAGCCAGCTCCCCAAGCTGAGCCCAGCGATACATACAGAGATGATAATTACATGCAGACCCACCTGCTGCAGCTGTTCCTGTGAAAATAAGAGTTGAGCAGGTAGGTGAGATGACAATGAACTTGCCATCCTATGCTGCACATGAATATCTCTAGGCTTGAAGTGAAAGCAGATACCCAGTCAGGGTTTTTGGGGGGGCCTTGCAGTTGATGCTATAAGCACTAGCAAACTGTACCTGTAGGTACCTGTAGTTAAATGAACAGTTTACTACACTACACTGAATACGTTATTGAACGATCGTGTTACAAACAGTAAATGCCAGTGCAGTTCCCTTATCGCCAGCTGTATATGTAACAGCTGTTTTTCCTCCAGTCCGTAATTACAGACAAAGGTTCCGCTCCTGACAGAGAAGGTGTAATCCAGAAAGACATACTTTCAGAACCCCACTGCTTCGCTATTACCTGTTCAGTAATGAGTAACTTTGAAACCATGAAAACTAATTAATCGTAACTACGAACGTTTTTGAACCGGCAGGGGTCAACCATTTTGAGACACACATCTGTAACCTCTCGTTTGTCTGAAAAGGGTGTTTTTGGAATAACAATGATAGTACAAACGTAATGAGAAAAATTAACAACACGGCTTTATTTATTTTTTTCTCAAATCAGATCAAGGCAGATGACAACACATAGGTTGGCACTTCACACATAGGTGTTGTTTGCTGTATCGTGAACACAAAATGTCACATTCTCTATGAAAAAAAAACTGCAAAGAGCTGTCAAAATCAAAGTATACAACTAAAACGATCAGGAAATGCTTTGCAAGTCAAGTGGTTAACCAGCGAGTCACAACAATTATACAGCATTTAAAATATTCACAAGGCTTGGGAAAGGGCACCATGACCTGCAGCAATTCGTTACAACACTCAAGAGTGTTAGATTTAATTAAGCCTTTGTGAGGCAAACACTGTAGCAAAATCAGTCATTTAATGTTAAGAATGATTTAATAAAACAGAAGTACAGGGCAATAATCTGTTCCAAGCATGGAGTTTAATAAGATTAACACTGCAGTTTCGTACGCCCTTCCTATGGTTAAACAGGCACAGGAATCATATTAAAGTGCGTTTAAACTGATTTCTCGGGGCACCATCCAATGAGTCCTTTTATTTTAGAATGCAACGTCGCATTTGTTTTCCGTCCCAAAATCCGGTTTTTGCACACGGCATCCGATTGTGGGAATCATCATCGTTTGAAACACTCATCTGTGAGCTGCGCGGTGCACCTGTGTGATCCGTCCGTTTGGCAATCGGTTTGAATTTTATTTGATCGGATTAGTGTGCACCCAGAACGACATTAACCTCTGATTTGCTGCGAGGAGACGCGTGAAGCACCGCGGTTTTGTGCTTCTGTGTTGCACATGGACAGAGGAAGGTCATCTTATGAAGAGCTGAACACTGTTGTTGTAAGACAAAGTAGACACGAACACAATTCCAAAAATAAAAGATATGACAAGCTGTTTCGTGGACCTGCGCATGAATGGTAAGTATTGCGATCTACATCGAATTTACTATTGCGCTTAAATGAGGTATGTACAGGATTACAGGAAATAAATCTCGCACCACAGAGAGAGAGAGAGCTGTGACGGGCCAGTTGAGTGACCAAGGTTCCAGTGGGAACAGTAGTCTCCACACGCAGGAAGCGGGTAGCACGGCTTCTTTTTCTATAAGGGAGACGTGTATTTGCGTAGTCCTAAATGTAATCGAAATTGCAGAAATATTCGTTTCATTATTTAAATCTAAACTGCATTCTGTCCATTAAGGCTCTTTGCCATGATTTCTACATATTGTGCTTACGACATCAGCCAACATGAACAATTAGGGCACAGAAACGCCAGGGCTGTATGTGGTTACTAACGTATAAGGGGACGTGAGAGAAGGAATTATAATGTTATAATAATGTTTCAATAATATATAATGTTTATAATGTTTCTTTATTAGCCCTATACAATTTCTTGCATTAGGAATTCGTCTTTTCACATACCCCAGCTTTTCTCCAAGAAGTCTGGCTTCTTACTGGCTTTGTCCCAGGTGGCACCCTCACCTCCCCTTTAATTACCCCCCACCCCTGGGGGGTCTATAAAACAGGGCACCTCTGTGCAGGGGTTCTAGGAGGAGTAGGAGTCTTGTAGGGGAGACCTCAATCACGCCCATGTCTATTGAAGTGCTTGTGTACTGCTGAGCTCGTTATTCTCTCTCTGATTCATAGTGCAAAGACCTTCAGACTCTCAGATTAAGTATTTAGCAAAATTGTTTGACAACACATCTGTAGGGAGGGGCTTTGGGAAGACTGATCACACTTCAGCGCTATGAGCAGGTATCTGAAATATCCATTGTTGAAATGCATGTACTGATCCCAGCTTTTCAAAGCTCCATTGGTACACTACATACTGTAGATCTTGAATTGCAGTCATTTTTAAAAGGGGTCATACAAGCAGGTACAGTTACTGCAGTGTTAGTTGCTCACAAACCTGAAAAAAAAAAACGAGTATGGTGTTTCGCTAAAGAATGAGAAGAAAAATCACACTGGAATGAAACCAGCATATACCCTGTACGAAACATCGGCATAAATCATTTTAGGAAATGTGAATGGAAAAGAAAAAATTCAACATGTAAAAAATAATACTCAAATCAAAGACACGTCATGTTTCTTGCAGTTCCATGTTTCTTACGTGCCCTGTTTTGAATTCAAGGCAAGTCAATGTGTCTTGCACATAAAGGATGGGAACATCATGGCAGAACAACATATTTTACATGCACTTGTCATAAAGCATTATTGCTTCACAACAGCAGCTTGCAGATGAGTATTTCCGAATGCTGGAGTCTTTTCTGTGCCAAAGACCCCAGGAACCCCTGCAGTTTATTAAAGTGGGAGGATCACGTGACTGCACTGCTGGAGAAATGAAGTCCATCCAAGCATTAAATAAAAATAGTTTTAAATGTGTAACTTTGGTTCTACACGTGGGAAACAAAAATAATGTTTGCTGTAGTTGGGACGTTATCATTCCAAACTTTGCTGCCAAAGGTGCTAAATACCCAAATTAGCAAACCATTCAGGAAATTTAAAAAAAAATGCTTTAAGAGCATGATTGTTTTCCAAGACCCTTGTGCATCTGAAAACTGAGGTTGTTGAAATACTTTCACCATCAATCCTATGCCGAGTCACAGAATGCAGTGTCCTGTGACCAGCAGAGTCTTACAGAAATCGATGAAAGACCAAACATCAAAAACACTGTGCATGTGTTTCCAGGTAAATTTTAGTTTTAACTTTTCAGTTTTTTAAATGTTCTGGATTTCCTGTAATTATCCATTTTGCAGAGATGGCATCCAAAGTCTCCAATCTTAAATATCTAGAGAAAATTATACTTATGATGCTCCTTTGTTTTATAATTGGGAATTTCAACAGAAAAGTGACTCCAACTATACTAGCCCCTTGACAGTACTACTGTAGACACACATGATGACATCCTGTACTGCAGTTCAATGATGGACCAGTGAATTAAACAACATGCAAAAGAGTAATGTGAGCCTTACAAAAAATAGCAATAGTATGAGTAATGGCAAGTTAAAAGTTGTATTTGAGGTGGATAAAATATAAAACCTGTCAAAGTCATTTCTCTTTAATTAGTTCCAGTGTCCCATCCTGTTTCATATGTTTAACAATACTTCACACATTCTTTGCAGTGAATTTCTGCAACGGGTCTGCTTGTGGACGTGTGGGTGATAAATGTAAACATTTTTTCTTGGACGAAAGAACCCCAGTTCACACTGTGCCTATAGTGTCAGTCTGGGTCTTATCCAGAGCTCGGTAATGACAGAAGATTGGCGTTTTGTTTTTACATGTCGAATTTAGAACAATTTTCAGGGCTTCAAATTATGGACGCTTTGCATTTTAATTCATGTTACCAGTACTCACAAATGCTTACATTTTCAGAATGAATTTTGATCTATTAAGTTTTAACCATGCATACTTATTCTTTAATGATCTTTTACTATACTTTTAGCTTCGATAATTCACAAATGTGTCAGACACAGAAACCTGCCCATGTGGTTTCAGCTTAGATGACATGTATCCAGGTGAGAGAAAGGACTTTAACTCATTAAGAAAATGCAAAAATAGGTTCCACCAGTTTATTAAAAAATGAAATAGTTTAGTAAGGCCTTTAGTGTGTTCAGATAGTTTACCTCTCAAAATATGGATTAATTACAGTTTAAACCTGGAGTTGGACAAAACAGATTAAATTTACTCATTAGGTGTTCTGCAGTGCATTCAAATTCGGAGTTTTGTTTTAATATATTTGTCTATGCCATCCCAAATAAGCTGCAGAATTTGGAATGTGACATGCATGTGACATGTACATTGTATTCATTTAAAAATCCCATGGTAAGTTGTACCACAGTTTACTTTATTTGTGAGATTTGCATTGTCGATGAGAAAATAAATCCTTGAAATCAATGTACTGTAATTCCTAAGGTTGGGCAGTTCAAGTGTTTTAGAGTGAAGTTTCCACTTGTGTTCATGGACACTGTATAAAATTCAGGACTGATAACACTGTCCTGTGAAATCTTCCCGAGGATATCTGGTATTAAAGAGGGTGATTTCAATAGGCTGTGTACATTTCATAAATCCTTGAGACGGATGAGAAGCAGAAATGTCCCGCCCCAGGCCACAAATTACATCCCCTATCAGTAAAATTCACTGAATAACACATTATTTCAGGATATTCTGGGAAAACAGTATGTGAATCAGGCACGTTCCTAAACTATTTTTAAGTATTATACCTTGATAGTTACAATACGCGTGTTACTGTACGTGTGATACATTTGCTTCTGATTATCTCAGTGGAGTCCTACTGCTGGACATGGCTGGACTCTTCCTTAGCCTTCTCTGCTTCTTTCAAGGCGTTGATTACCGGTAGCCACGGAGACGGCAGCTCGGGTATCGTCTTCTTGGCCTGGGTAAGGTGGCTGATGGCAGTGTAGAGGCCCCCTCTTGCGCCTGGCTCCTGCTCTGAGTAGTACATCTCCAGGGCTGCGGGGGTGCAGTGCTTGTGCTGTGGAACAGAGCAGAACCCAGACATTGACAACGATGGCAGAGAAGACTGCTGCCCCTGCCTGCAGTGCACGCACAAGAACACAGGCAGACTTACAAATGCAGGAGGTGGGCTGTTAAGACAGTGTCGTGCTTTTGATTAATAGTTGCTGATTGATCCCCCCCCCCACCCAAAAAAATCTTGTTCTACCCCTTTTTGAAGAATTCCAGAATCTGTTTCAAAAACATGGCTGAACCGTTTGCTCCAGACACCTCTCGCTGTTCTTAATTTGTTCTTTTCAAGAGCTGAACATTAACATTTCTATAAAGAGTGCCAGAACTGCTAAGGACAAAAGGCTAGGTTATGTGATGGATTGAAGAAAGCCTAAAAATTTAATTCATACTGAAACTCATTTTTAAAATAATCCCTTTATAACACCAGCTTTGGGGATTTCAGGATTTAAGGTTTTACATTAGCAATTTATTTAAAATAACTAAATAGTGAAACAATAATAATGATGACTTATTTAATAGGTTTGTAATCTCTCAGTACTGCATTCCCATATCTCATTTTGAAGAAAGAAGTTCTTTATATATAACTTCTCAGTATATATCACTCCCAATAAAGTTATTTTTCAACGCACATCCGCAATAGATCTGTTATTTGAGTTAATCTGCATAAAAGAATAAATTCAATTCCTAGAAGTGTTCAAAGAAGATGGAGACATTTTTCATTTTTAATGTCACCAACTGTCCAGGGAAAGATTCAAGGAAGAGCCAGAATGTGCCTGAGGAACTGAAATATTCCCAGATGGAAAATCGAGACATCTGACCTACAGATCCGTTTATTGAAAGAAAGAATTTCACATTTTGTTTTTCCACAACAAATGATAATCATTTCATTATAATGTGCTATAATATTTCTTTTAATTTAAAAAAATGTCATGTTGGAATGCTAAAAGCCACCACTAAATACTTTAATTGCAACTAAGTCATAGCATGCCTAATTATCGCCATCCTGAATTTCTACGCCACATGTTTTTGGTGGGGAAAAAACTCTCTCTTGAAAAATCCAGCATCCTGCAGCTGCTTTAGAGACAAGGTGGCTGTTCTTCACACTGTTGTACTGTATCATCATAGTGAAAAAGGAGACGAGATCAAAAGACTCAAGTCGTTCAAGTAGGGAGCTGCAAAGGAACAAGTAAAGGTTTATTCCATCCTGAAAGAGAAGAAAAGAAACGCAACGTTTCGGCTGTGGAGCCTTCTTTGGGTGTGAAGAAGAAGCCTCCACAGCGGAAACGTTGTGTTTCTTTTCTTCTCTTTCAGGATGGAATAAACTTTACTTGTTCCTAGACCAAAAGATTGCAGGAACTTAAAGAACACAGCCAAAAACCTGGGAAATCTACTGAAAACCACGAAATTGTAAAGAAATGCAACACAAAAAACAGAAGATTGGGCCATTCAACTCTTCCGTGGTCTTGTGGTTGCTAAGAGGAAGATTTCAGTAACCCATTTCCCGAATGTCCACAGAGAATAAGGTGTAGCAGCATGACTGGGAACCTTGTCCAAGACACCCACTACCCTTTGTGTAATAAAGTGCCTTTGCCCTTGCATATGAAGTAATCTGACTATTTTTTTAGGATTGTCATTATCTGTATCAAGACTGATTGATAAATAATAATTATGGTCTTCTCTATTCTGTGTGTGCCATTACCCTCCGAGTTGGGATTGTTCTGTTTTCTTTCCTGAGACCCTCTAGAGCAGCGATGTCCGGAACTGTAAACATCACCCTCAGTGAGGTGCAACCAGTATATTATTTAAACTCAGCTGTCCACCTTTCAAATTAATTTTTGTAATTTTCACTATATATATATCCCTGCTCATTCAACTTATTTGCATTGTCTATTTAATAGCTAACTGGCTTCTAGTGCTACCCATTTTAGAGAACATTTTTTCCTCCTGCATGTATTTCTTTGCCCTTATCTGCATTATATTTCTTGTGTTAGGTGTCGGCACAGTCTTTTACTGCATCCTAGTCTTTACTTTTCCAACGGTATTGTGTTTGCCATCCCTCCTATTTTTGTGATGTCTGCAGACCTTACAAGTTTACCGGCTACTCCAGAAACATGATTTACATTCACATAAACTAAGATGAACGGTGTGCCTAATGGAGACATCTGTGATCTCCAATGTGAGGTTTCTCAGTGTTTACCGTGTTAATCAGTGGGGAATAGGAGTGTTAGCTTCTTCCTAACACAAGCAACTGAGACCGTGTCAGCACCAACTCTCAGTCTGTTGCGATCTCAGTCTAACCTCGTCATGCAAATAACGTTTTTAGTGGCCTTGCACTAGACGTATGTTACAATTTTTGCCTGAACTCTCCAATTGCCTCTGGGATCATAGCTTGACATTGATCCCTTTCTGGAAGAGCAAATTCTTGCTCCTCTGAACTCTGACCGTTTCCCTCAGGGTGTTCTGTCTCAGGATTCTCTATCCTGTCAGCTCATCGCCATCTTGGTCTTTTTATCCTTTAGCTCTTCCCACATCGGGAATACAAACGCATAATAGTGCACGTAGGAGCATTCATTCCAGCCTTCTCTGTGGCGCCTAGCTTTCCCTTTTTCACAAAACACTAGTTCTCACATTACTCTCTCTCTGACACTCTCATCATAAGGTCATCTGATGCCTGTAACTTCCTGCTGTACAGTATCATTTGCTTGATTTCCTAAAAACTGCCTCTCAGCTCACAGAGTCCCACTGAGATTTTAGCTGAGAAGAACTGCTGTCTATATAGCCTTACTCTGTCACAGCTGATCCTGTCTGGTCAGGGACATCTTCTCCACACTGGACATCAGTGCCGCTGACATGGCAGCAACTTGTTTGATATGTTATTACATTACTATTATTACATCTTACTACATTATTCCTTCTCTCGTCTCCCCCTCTCTCAAGGCTATTGTAAGGGGCGTGGCTAATTCCACAGGAGCCAATCCTGGTTGCCCCTTTCAGTCACATGGAATTCCACAGACTCCACCCACTCAGCCCAGGTATATCTGGTTCCACACCTGTGTCCAGTGACAGCCCCCTCTCTCCATCACACAACCCAAAATAAGCATCATCTTCCTTGCTAAGCCATGTGCAAAATCTAAAAATGTTCTTAAAACTGAAATCATAAGATGACAATGTTCTTGTTTAAGCTGACAAACAAGGCACGAGATCACAGTGCTGAAACATGCATTATGCCCATTTGAGTGGGAACATGAAGTTGTTGTTAATGAAAACCTATCACAGGTGCTCCCAGAACATTTCGCTCCGGTATCATTCATCATCTAAAGACACCAGAAGATGTTATGATTATTTCAATGCATTGGAGATTTAACAAAAGTTGAAAAGGAAACAACTTTTGAAGGAGATGACATATCTCTTGCAGAATATTGAGGTGAAACTGGCAGAACCAAGATTGGGAGCAATGGGTAACGTATACAAAAGGCAGAAATTCAGTTCAGTTAACACACTTGTTCTCTCACTGGCAGCACAAACCACTCTTCGGTTTTATTATTTCTGACTCATTTTATAATACAACCACAAAACACAAAAAGGAGACTTTCAATACAATATAAATCAAAAGATGTCTGCCATAATTATCCGTTAGAATAAAGCAAATATCTCAGAAATCATGTTGTGGTTTCCTGTGGTGCCCTGTGAATCCGTTCTCAACCAGGCAGGCTTCATGCTCATGGTTTAACAAAGTGGCATCTGAATAATATCATCACATTAATTATTACTACAAAATGTCAGCATCACCCCCAACTCGATATCCATGTCTTTCAAGAAAATGGTAAAGAATTATTTATGTTCCAGAATACGACCACAGTTATTAAAGTCAGCCAGCATGTAATCTATCTGCTTGTTTGTGCTTTGTAACCCCAATTTCTTTCCATACAATCACGCTCAAACTGAAACACAATTCTAGCAAAATAGTAATATACAGTGTCTTGCAAAAGTATTCAGACCCTTGCACAATTTTCACATTTTGTTACTTGAAAGCTACAGTCATGACACTTTGAAGAGGCAAATAGATAATATGAAAGGAAAATGAAAAAGTTGTGATTGTATACAGTAAGTATTGAACCCTTTTGTTCTGGCAAACCTAAATTTAGGTACACAAACATCCTGAGTTACTGAGTGGCCTCTGTCTGTGCGTACTGATACTAATTCACATGATTTCAGAATGAATACATCTACCTATTTCTTTGAGATCCCCCAGTTAAGCAGTGAGTTTCAAACAAAGATTTAACCATGAAGACCATGGCAGGAAGGCAAGGAAACTGACTGGGACTACCACTGTGAGATCAACAGGGACTTTGAAAGAGTTACAGAGTTCAATACTTGAAATGGGAAGATGTGTCCAGGGATCAACTATATCCTGGTCATTCCACAAATGGGACTTGTGTGAAACTGAAAAAAAAAAATCTTTTATCCTGCACAGGGTTTACAACAAATCACCTGAGAGATCCTGCAAACATGTGGCAAACATGGTGTGGCCAGGCAACAAAATTGGAAGTGTTTGGTCTAAATGCAGAGTTACTTTGCATATAGCCAGCATAGTGCATCACTCAGTCAACACCATCCCTGCAGTCGAGCCTGGTGGTGGAGTATGATGTTAGAGTTCTGCTTCTCATCAGCAGGAACTGGGAAGCTTGTCAAGGCTGATGGAAACACAGATGGAGCTAAATGCTGGCAAATCTTGGAGGAAACCCTTCTTCAAATTGGGACAAAAACAAACCTTTCAGCAGGACAGTGAGTCGAAACACAAGGAGGGGCACCGAGTAAGAAAGTGGCCCAGTCAAAGTCCTCCTGTTGAGAATCTGTGGAATGACATGGAAACTGCTGTCCTTATAAGTGATCCTCAAGCTACTTAAGTGAGCTTGAACAAATCTGCTAAGAATAACGGGCAAAAAAAATCACCACGTAGGTGGGCAAAGTTCATAGAGACTAACCCAGAAAAACCTGTTGCCAAGGGTGCCTCTACCAAATATTGAAATCACAGGTCTGAATACATTTGCGATCAACACATTTTAGTTTTTATTTCATTACTGTAACTTATCTTGCACTTAGATGTCTCAGTCTGAGCATTCAGTTTTAGTATGTGCATATCATTTTGTCATTTCACAAAATGGGACACCATAGGAAGTGTCTGAATACTTTCACAAGATAGTGTATATACTTTCAAAAAATAGTCTTTAAAACCTAGACTTCATGTGTTTAAAAAAAAACATTCTGGTATTACTCTAACAACTGGATGCCATGCACGCCAGAATAAAAGATGCAATAAGGAAGTTTTAAAAGCTTTTGTAAAAATAGAGAAGAGAACAAGCTTAGCATAGTATCTATAATAATGATATGAAAAAAGGTGAACAATTATAATATTAAAATAATACCATGAATATATTTTAGTTAATCAGTATTGCATAGAAATATACAGTTATAAAATGTTGCAAGCTCACTGTACAAAATGAAAAATGACCGCGCACGGGCAATCATTCGAGAGCTTCGCTGTTCAGGTGGTCTTACCTTGAAAACGAAGCCCTCTGGGCAGCTGAGCTGGTCGTACCACAGGGCCTTGTACATTACCAACAGCAGCAGGCATGCCAGGAATGCCATAGTGATGAGGATCAGACCAGTTAGCTAAAGCAAACACATAGAAACTGTGAGTCTTGCAAGTCTGTAGAGAACACAAAACACATTTACATTTTGAATTCTAGGCATTACCTTGACCTTCTCTGACACTTCATCATACAGGTTTATATTCAATTTCTTAATGCCAGGCACGTATAGCTTTCTCTTCTTCTTCTGCTGCAGCTGGTACTCTGTTGTGGTTTTCACAATTACCTGGGAAGAGACCGTGTACATGCATTAACGACTGGGAATAAAAACATCGAGAGAGTCAAGTCCTCTATTGTGTGTGGAAGCTTTTGATCCTTCACCATGTTAATGTGTCTGTAAAGACTGTTGCGCTGATAGCTGATTTTTTTTTTTAAACAGTGACTGAAACTGTTCCAGTATGGCTTAAACTGTTAGCTGTGAAGGGCTTGCGGACTATCAAAACCAGATATTTTTAGAAGTACGATTGACTCTTGAATGGAACTGCAAGTTGTGGTATTCTGGTGCTGCAGTCTTCCCAAGGATATCAAAAAGGATATCAGATTGGTAGTAGTAGTTGCTGGAGGTTATAGCGTCTTACACTAGAAGTGAAAACGGAGTCTACTATATCTTTAAGGTGACTGGCCTTAGTACAGTACATGTTAAATTGCTTTATTTTTATCAAGGCACACACAAATGATAGCTAATTATACAGTGTGCAAGAGAGAACAGGATTAATAAAAACACCTAATAAGTGACAAGTGTCCAGCAAGCTCGTCTGTCCCTCTTTGTAATGAGAGCTGTGTTACCTTGTCGGGAAACGGTTGCTGGAGCTGGCTCACGTCCAGGGGTGTTATCAGAGGGATGTTATCAAACCCATCTTCCAGGGCCTGCTCCTTCTCTGGTTTCTCAGCCAGATTGCTCCCTAACTTCACCATCTCTGACTGGCAGCTCTGGGGGTTAAAGACACAATAACTGGCTGGGGAGTGTTGAGCTTCTCTGGTTGTTCTGAACAGCGCCTGACGACAGGGGAAGCCTGCAGTTTTCGTTGGTGGCCTGTGACTTTCTAATAAACCACTCTCAGCCGCAAATCAGAAACACACAGAGCTGAGGGAAGGCACCCTTCTAGCATCACAATGAAAGGAAAGGCAGACAGTGCATAGAATAAGACCCCTAACGGCCGTTTCTTGACAAAACCTTTCTGCAAAACTAGATAGCGAAAGTATTTCTCCAAAGTTTTAGCAATGTGTATGCATTTTGTTCAATAATATTAAAGGGAGATTTGTTTTACAAGTGTAGTATACAGCTATACAGCAGGATCAAGCAACAGCTATGACATTGCAATAGAGCTCTCACTTCTAAATTTCAGACACAGCACCTTATTTCTCTTGTACTATCTATTCAGGGTTCTCATATTTATTTTGTTAAACGGACAAACCATAAAATATCTGGTTTTAAAAAATGGCCTTCACTGAATTGATTAAATAAGTCTCTTATCTGGGGCGGTGTGCTGCGCAGTTGTACGGTACATTGCTGCCTCACAGCACGAGGGCCTTGGGTTCAATTCCTGGGGTGCTATCTGCATGCAGTTCGAATGTTCCTCCCGTGTTTGGGTTTCACTGGGCGGTCTGGTTTCCACCCACTGGTTGGCTAACTGGATTCTGGGAAAATTGACCCTACTGTAGGTGTGAGAGCATGCGTGCCTGTGTTTGTGTCTGCCCTGCGGTGGACTGGTGTCCCGTCCGGGGGGTATCCCACCTTACCCATTGCTTGCTGGGATAGGCTCTGGCTTCCACAACCCAGAACTGGTTTAAGCAGTTAGAAAATGGATGGAGGTTAGGCTAAAAATGTGGAATGTGGACTAAAATGGGAAAAGAGATTGGAAAATGGGTGGCTGTAGTTTCTTATCTCCCATACAATGGCATCTGAAATACACACATTTATATGAAGAAATGCATTGGGAATACATTGAAGTTCTTTACTATATCATGGTTGGTTACGGTTATGATGTAACATGCAAAATATTACATTCTGTTTCTTGAAAGACTTTGAGATTATTGTTATTACTTGATTTTCAAATGAAATCTCTGACGTCTCTTCCAGATAAAACCATCCTCCTAAAGGGCAGGGCAAATTGTTGACCACATATCCCCTGAGATTCTAGATTCCAGATTCTGAGAATCTAGTAGCAAGGATTTTCCCAAATAACATGCACATAGAATACCTCTAAAAATACAGGAAGTCAATGGAAAATAAGCTACACTTCCATTACAATTTTAGGAATTGTGCTTTTGTTCTGACTGCCTGTTATTAATATTTGAAGGTTATTGTAACAAGCTTGTTATTCTGTAATGGTAATGACACAGTGCACGTTACCCTAAAGCAGATGGCAGTGCTATCATAAGCCCCACTACAGTAATGTTTGTATTTTAGTGTTTCATTTGTTTAACAATGCGAATGTCAGAGAATAACCAAATCAAAATAACTGTATTCATTTATTTTACTGCGCAAGATAAATGATTAAATAAGGCTGGAGGAGCCTTATTTAATCATTTATGAAAGAAACGTCTTGCAGAACCAAGAGCTGCATGTTTGTACAGCAAAGAGGAGAGGCGGCTGTTTCTGGGAGGCTGGGAGCTGGAATCACACATGTTCCCGTGTTGTCTTGGCAACTGTCTGAGAGCAGGGGCACAGTGTAGGATAGGAAGATCTTGTTTTTAGTGTATCACCAAGGATTCTGTAATCTTCCTGGTCAACACTTGCTCTTTCACATCTAAGCAAAGATAGAAACTGTCAGGGGATTGTGATTATACTTGGCAAGCAACACATTTACACAGTCTCTCCTTTGCATTAATCAAGACTACAGCTCGGCACCTAGAAACACTACATACAAGAGCTCCGCAACAACACGGGCAATTCATTATGTCTGTTATAATGGCTGATGTACAGAACCTTACTCCCTATCAATGCAGAAAAAAGCTTCCCATAAATAAAGTAAAATGAAGAGACAAAATTAAGCAACAGTGCACCTAGAGGAATGTGGTCTATGTGTGCAGAACATGTTCTGTCCCCATTAAATGCTTAGAACTCAACTGCACAATCTCTTAACTTAATTAAAATAGAAAAGTGGAAAATTCAAAACACTGCTGTTGCGTTTCAAGGCCTTAACAGTTTCTCTGCTGACTACATTGAACTCTTGTCTCTTTACACACCAGCACATCACGTGTGCTCTTCAGACTCTGACTTCTTTCAGTGCTCAATACAAACCCTGAACCCTGGGAAAGCCTGGACAAGTCTGGAAAAGCCTGGGAGACACTGGGAGTCCCTGCTGCTTATTCTGTTGCTCCAAGAACAGAGTCATGGGATGATCCCCAAGCCCATATCAGACCTTGAAAATCAGATAGCGCTTTCAAATCATGTCTCAAACCTCACATTTACACTCAAGCTTTTAGTTTGGTTGAATCAATTGTATTAAAACGTGACAAGTTTTGTTTATTCTGTTTTATTTTTAACCACCTTAGGATAATGTGTCTTTAGGTTTATTTAGTAAAGCACTGGCAAATACCAGAAGTGCCAGCTTCTTTCTTACAAGATGTACTGTAATTGTGATTTTTTGAAATCTTGGCAGTGTGACTTTTTCAAATGCTTGAAATGTAATTATACTCTCTTTGATCCCAGTAATGGAACTATTGAGCAAAGGGGAATTTTATCGCCAAGATATTAATTAGATTTTATGAAACAATTAGACTAATGTTCTTTTCTTTATCCCAGAGAACATTTGACGGGTTTTAGGGCCTTAAAATATCTAGAAAAGCTGGGATTACATGTGTCAGCAGTAGTTCATGAACACAAGAGGCAACTGTGCTCTGGAGACAATGTCAAATGAACGGAGAAAAATACGTATCCTCTGCAATCCCAAAAACACAGTGGGAGCCCAATGAGAAACCGTCATCTGTACTCTGCCACCTGGGTCAGCTTTACGTGCACATGAACTGGCAAGTGTCCGGTTATTACCAAGGAAAAGACTGTTTTTATGTTGAGTTTCAATTAAAGGCTGGAATGCCAGTGGTTTGGTACATTGGTCTACTCGGCCAGCTCGGATGTGACAGTGTTTGAAGACCTGGCCCTGCAGCTGTGTCTAACACCGTGCAGGCAGAGCAAGGGCCTGCGGACCGGCTGCTCCCTGCGGGACAGGGGGCGCAGCAGAGGAGGGGTACACTTCTCCCCGACGTCACTGCGAGCTGGCACGTGTCCGGCACGTCTAGGGGAGCGGCTGTTAGACAGAAACCGAGAGAAAGCCCTTAGCAATTCACACCTGCGCCACCCCCCAGCAGCTCTCTGGCACACCCCGGTCAATCAGTCAGGTGACTCGGGATGTACAACAGGACGGGCTTTTGGCAGAGAGACACCTGGGGGCTGGAACAGGAAGTTACAGTCTGTTCCAGAGGAGGGATGAGGACAACCGGCGGCAGACGTGGTGATTTTTCTGGTAACACCAGGGCACCACCCTCCCTGGGGGGACTGGATGACCAAGAGGGAATGCATTTGTGCTGAAATCCCTCTCAACTTTGAATAGTTCAAACCTGCACTTCAGCTGGGGTAAGCCCTCCATGTCCAGTATTTAAATAACATCACGCAGCAGTCAAATATTTTTGACAGAAAATGCCTGCTCAATGGCACAACAGCAGTGACCCACATGGGATTTCAAATCCCAGCAATCCCCCTGCTCCACACTAGTGCCTCAGGATCTTGGGAATGAAGTTGCAATCATTTTGGTCTCCCACATGTGAAGAGGGTTTTTATTGGAGGCCTTAAACGGAAACAGCCATTCTTTGACAACAAGATAGCAATAGCAAAGACATTGAAGGGAGGTATCGTTTGAGAAAGATGCTAAAAAACAGAATAGACTTTAAACCGTCACATACATTGAATTATTATTATTATTGTTTGGCAGAATTTGCAAATAGAACAGATCCAGATGGTGGTGAGTTTGAATCCAAGCTATGCCTCCCACCATCCATGGCCAGCTGTCTGAGGAGCAGCTCCTGATTGGCTGAGCTCGGCAGGTGGCACCCTGCATAGACTCCTGTTGCTGTGTGACCAGCTGTGAGGTCATGCCCACTCTGTCAGTGTGAAGTTATGTTTATTTCCTATTGTGACAGATAGGACTGTTCCTGAGTCTTTACTTCCCCCAAACCTCAGCTTGAGCTCAGCTGAATATGAAGTGGTGTATAAAAAGGAATTTGGATTGTTAATGTAAATAATTTTTCTGACAGTTTTACTGGATAGCTTCCAATAAGATCTCATAATATATCCTAAAGCATGACTACCGTTCTTAATTTTTTACTTTTGCATTTTATTGAAGTTTGCTCGCTGACCCAGAAACACTCTTTGCATTAATGTTAAAGGACAGATGAGAAATTATAATCTATATAATGGTGCAGTTATGGCCAAGCAACAGTAACCTGCAGTTGTTAATGACAACTCTTTAAGACCTCTGCATGTGAATTCATTTAAAGGGTACCAGAAAAGTGTAATAATAAAATTGCACATATGACATGTAGTTAAAACTTCCTACACAGTTCTGAACAATTGGTGTGAATTACAGAGAGATGGAGAGAACTTGCTCTGACAATTTAATTAGTGTAAGTGCTAATGCCAGCCATACCCTTGATCCAAGTGCTCATTAATGCTTCATGAGCTTAAAAATAATCAACATTATGAATCAAGTCATTATAATACATTTCCAATTTATCTCCCTCTTTTGTGTATTTCATGGGCACAGTTTTATTTTCTGGGGCCTCTTGCAAGCATCATCTTGATGCTGACTTACATGGCTTCCAAGAGGACTGTATCTGCACACCTCCAGAGCACTGCCAGGCCCTGTGTTGCATTAAGGCATTGAGATCTGCTTCCTCAGGCTGACTGTACCAGCACACCTCCAGAGCATTGCCAGGCCCCATGTACCCCTGGGGCATTGAGATCTCTTTCCTCGGGCTGACTGTCCCAGCACACCTCCAGAGCATTGCCAGGCCCCATGTACCCCTGGGGCATTGAGATCTCCTTCCTCAGGCTGACTGTCCCTGCACACCTCCAGAGCATTGCCAGGCCCCATGTACCCCTGGGGCATTGAGATCTCATTCCTCAGGCTGACTGTCCCTGCACACCTCCAGAGTCCCAGGTCCGACAGTTCTCTGTGCTGCTCCCCAGAGGTGGAACGATCTACCTGTCACAGTCAGAACTACAGACACACTCGTCATCTTCCAGAATAAACAGAATCTGAAATCTCATCTCTTCAGGACATACTGGACCCCAGAGGCCGGTGACTGACCCTTCCATGCTGACTATGCTCATTCCTTACTATTACTTATTGTCAAGCAGCACTGAGGCTCTTCTTCATTGTGCAATATTCTCACACTTAATTAATGTTGTGCTTGCTGTTCTCTGTGGTTTTATTGTTGTTTTTTGCTGCTGTCATCTGCACATTGACTGAATGTGATTGTAAGTTGCTTTGGATAAAAGAGACTTACAAATTAATAAATGTAAATGCAACTACTAAACCACTTCACGAGAAGAGCAGAAAACCAGAAGGGAAACATGCCTTTTATACAGTATCTACCTTTATTCATTCACTTATACCTGGTGAGAATGTCATTCCTTATGTAATCCTGGTTTCCACCCCCTCACATTCCCTGCATCCCATTAATTAAGCAAATAAGTGTCCTTTTACCTTCTACTGCATGTGAGGGATGACTGCATTCTGCACTTTGACCAAACGTGCCTTCAATCCTGCACCAAGGATTCTTTCTTCAAGCTAGGACACTAAAAATGTAGTTTGCTGCCAAAGAAAAACAAGCTCTCGTCTTCCCAGCTAATACACCGCCCATGCCAGTCGGTTCCTTCACAAGCTTCACAGCGCAGTGCAATCTGTTGTTTAATCCTCAGATATCAACAGGCTGGTGTGTTCTGTGTTCTTCCAAGAATGGCTTGAAATTGCAAATGAATACACTGAGGACCTCCCTCAGAGAACTTCTTCCTCTCATCTGCTCTTCTGTGGTATTTTGGCATTCTTTTCTTGTCTTTGGAGACGTCTCTGCAGCCCTTTAAAAGCTTTTGCTTTTTGCTGGGACATTAGATGACTAACAGCTTTGAAATTCCTCCACGAGAAAGAAGAATGGTAACAAAACCAAAGTGACGTTTCTGTGAGTTTTGTGCTCTCCGCATTTCTGCTCATTTTGTGACTGAGAATAACATTACTGGATGAATTTTTGGCCAACCTCACATTACTATATAGCAGAGGCGAGATTCAGATTAGTTGCTTTATTGACTTACTGTAGGCTGCCTGGCTGAGCAAATGGCCACAGAGCTGCTGCAAGGGTGATGATGGGATGGAGTGAGGGGCGCGAGTGAAGATTCGTGAGTGGGTGCTCTGGAGGCAAGACATTTATATGCGGAAGAGCAGAAGAGGGCAAGTTGAGGGTGTGAGCTTTTCCTGGTCATCAGTTGAAAATGTCATAAACATCTGAGACCAAGGGTGACATCTGGTATTAGTATTTATGCTAATCGGTGCAGGAGTAAGCATTGCTGCCTCACAGCACTGGGTCCCAGGGTCCAATTCCAGACCCGCGGTGCTGCCTGCATGGAGATTGTATGTTCTCATTGTGTTTGTATAGGTTCCCACTGGGATCCAATCTGGTTTCCTCCCAGAGTCCTAAGACATACTAGTAGGTCAACTGGCTTCTGGGAAAATTGGCTCTGGGGTGAGTGTGTGGGGATCTGTATCTTTATTTATCTGGAAATGGCAAGTTGCTTCAGTAATAAGAGAAAGCGATCCTTGTCTTTAAGGTATGTGCCAGGGCAAGTCATGAGCTGAGTGAGTAAGAAAGGTCCCACATCTCTCATAAAACTCCCAGATGTAAGACATAGTCTCAACATCGCTTTGATACATATGGAGGAAAAAAAAAGGAATTCCCTTTTAATGGACTGCATACCCCTAACGGGGAATAAAAAGCAAACTTACGGCAGACGTAAATCTTTTCAGGAAATAAAACTCACTTACACTTTTAATCACTAATGTTATTTACATTTCTATTGGCTATGAAGTCATCTGGCAGGTTTGCAAATTCTGTCTGAACCAGCATGTGCATGGACATGGTAAATGAGGAGATAGAAACTGGACGAAGAGACGTTTCTGCCCTTTAGGGATGCGTGAGGATGGGTGTTGCATGTCTGGGCACATCCATGCTTTCCTGTGGAGGGCTGGGAACTGTGGCTCTGGCTGATTCAGTTCCCCACATTGCCACAGGGCTCCCTATTGGTCAAGCCTCTGGTGTGGTCAGGTGGGCGTGACTCAATATCCTGTCATTAGGGCTGCGGAGTAATTAGGGGATCTGTCATGGCACTGAGATCAGAGGGCTCTCGCCTGTCTTCAGTCTCCCTTTCTCAGCGGCAGCTTTGCAGAACTGAGATGAGGCTGCAATTAGTCACTCCTAAACTGCAATTAACAGAGCAGAGTGACTAAGGGACAGCTGTGTCCCACAGTTCCACAGGCTACAGTGGAAGGAAATATGTGAGGAGAACTAGGAGAACACCAGAAGGTGTCTGCAGAGCTGTACTAGACAATACCTGCAATACCCGATCGTGTGACTGTGTGCCAGTGGGGTCTTGTGTCTGCATCCCTTCAAAATCCCAGCTGTAAAGCCCCAGTAAACCAGAATGTGGAAGAATGAGCAAAATATGAGCAGAATAACAACTCGACTGCATATTGTTTCTAGAAACAGGGCTGAAAAAAATTACTTGCATGAACAGCAGCACAGATATTGTTGCACAGCTTTTTTAAGAACCTAAGCACATAAGAATGATTACAAATTGAGAGCAGGCCATTTGGCACATCTAACTGTTTGGTTGCCAGAAACTAATTAATCCAACCATTTATTGAAAGAAGCCAGGGTATCAGCTTCAACCGCAAGGCTGAGTATCTTGTTTCAGACTCCCACAACCCTTTGTGTAAAGAAGTGTCTCGTGTTCTTGGTTTAAAATGCAGTTCCAGGTAGTTTCCACTTGTGTCCCCTGGAGGATGTTTATTGACAGACACACAGACACAGATACGCACACACTCACACCTGGACCTGTTTTCCCAAAAATACAAACAAACTCCATGCAGATAGCACCCCAGGTCCAGAATTGAACCCAGGACCCCAAGACATTGCAAGACAGCAATGCTAACCACTGCAGCTATAGCAGAATAGTGATAACTTATATAAATTAAGAAGGACAGTGGTCCTACTATAGATTGCTGTGGTAATACATCACCATAATTTGAACATCAACAATGTATCTGTTGTCTATTTTCTGTCAACTAACCAGCTCTCACTCCAGTTACAGGCATTGACCTTCAACATAAGAACATAAAAATGTTTATTATAGGAGGAGGACATTCCACCTATCAGTAGTTCATTAATTACTCCAATGATCTCATACAGCTGCCATACAGATGTTAGTTAAGCAAGACCTGCCTATTTGTTATCCTCAAAGACCATCCCTTAGGATTCTACAGTGCTAAGATGATTCTCTAGCATAGTTTTAAGTATATTTTCCATAAATGTACACATAATAAAGCAAGTCTTACACTCTGCTGACATTTCCTCAACAAAAACTGCAAACAGAAAATTGTGTTACTCCTGGATATTTTTCAGGTTATTGGCATTTGCAAGCAGTACTGTGCTTTCAAAAACCTTTAGATTATTCCAGACAGTCTACAATTGTGTAAAAAGGACTCAACATACAGTAAGCTGTAACCACAACAAAATGAAACAAGATGATACATGTTACAGGATTCACTCTATGGTATAAAATAATGTTGTTGTTGTGTGCCTTGCATAACGTTTTCAATATAATTAAAGAATAAATACAAATTCAAACGTATTTATCATTCTTGTCCTGAACATTCCCATACCCTAACTTCAATCTAATAGGATTTTAGCATTTTTCACATTACAGTTGACCAAAACACGGAACACAGTCTGAAATCAATACCCCCATCGTAGTAAATTCAGCGGGTTATGTTCCCCGATATTTAATGTGACGCCCCGTCTAAAAGGGTGACATTGTGCTATCGATTAGTATTAGAAAGACGTGCGGTTCCGGTCGCCACGGGCACTAGACGGATCATTTATCTAACTCCTTGCTGCAGTCCCGGGTGCAAAGCGCCGCGGTTAACTGCATATTCTTCAAATCTAGGCAAATGAAAACCCACTTCTAAAGCCATTGAATCAGAGGGACAAAAACACCACCACGAATATCTCTGCGCACAGTGAACCCCCTCTTCGCACTCGGTGCCACATTATACAAAAAACCCCTCTGTCTGTGATCCTACCGCTCTTTGTCTTTCAAAGATCCGCATGGGCGGAGGCTGACACTGAATGGACTTTTCTTCGTTTTTCCTCTTCTGAAAAGGTCACTATGTAAAGCATCCTGATTAAAACAGGCTCTATACCATAAACGATACGCGTCGAATTCACGCCGAAACGCCAATATTAACCGTTTTGCAAAAAATCGATATTGTGCTCGGACCAAATCACAGTACTTGAGAGAGTAAAACAGAGAATTGTAGCCACGCATTAATCCTGAAGCACGTCAAGTTGACCACCGTTCTGTTTGTAAAAATGCAGAAGGGTGAAATCTTGGACTATAAGGTTTAGCTTGTTTCTCCGAAGAAGCGGGTTTGCCGGTGTTATCCTTTGTCTTAGTAAACCTCTTTAAACCCCTAGCTGTCTTTGGCTTTTTTCGGTCTATGATTAATACACAGTTTACTTTAGCCCAGAAATATAATCTAAAAGTCAAAGAACCAGGAAATCACGCACAATTTGCAGCATATGTTCATTTAAGCATGTAATGACTTACCGTTGTTGCTGGTGCTGAAGACGGTAGAGATGCGCCCTCGGTGCTTCTACAGTGCGTGAGAGCAGGAGGATGCTGGAGGAGACTGGTTGCCGTGGTGATGCGGTCTTCAGTGCTCTGGTGCTCAGGAAGCTGAGGCTGGCGTCTGGAAGACGCTCTCCGCGCACGCTGGCTGCTGGAGTTACTGCACAGCTCAGACTTTTAATTTAAAACGGCACTCATGTGAGCTCAAAAAGTGCGAATGTGTTATTCTCACACTTTTCTCAACAGCGAACACGTTACCGTTTCAGTTTTCCATGTTATGCTAATTTCACAAAATGTTCTCTAAATATTTTATCCGTCTTCACAGGACAGGGGACCAGAAGAGATTTTCGAAAGGAAAAGTTCCCCAGACCTACGGTTTCAGTCACGACGGAAAGATAGCAAGGTGAGACAGGCTGCAATTACTGAGCCCCATCTCACACACTCTTATGTGTGTGTTAGGAGAACCAACGTCATAATTTTTTGTTAGTTACTGTCAGCAGAACAAAGGGTGTAAATTAATCTACCAAATCCACCCAGAGAAAGATCCCTGACAATAATTCCTAGTTTGCACTTTCAATCCAACATCTTGAGTTCAGGAGCCCCGCTCTTTCCCTTATCTAGTATTGATACACTTGTTTCAGGAGTTAGTTAAAATAATTACCAGAAGTGAAGGTAAATTCTGAAGATTACTCAACGGCTGAATCGTTGAGATTTTTCTTTCCACTTTTCATTGTGGAATCAAACTTAACGTTGTCCTTTACAGCCAACACACACTGCACAGCTCCCCACTCCGATATCATAAAACACTCATTCGTTTATTGTCTGTTATTATTAATTTATTGGCCTGGTGCTTTGTTCCAAGGCAGCTGACATTTGTACTCCTTTAGACGGCTTGGCATTTTACTGCTGCCATCGGAGCAAAGTACCGCTTGCAAAACAGCACAACTCTCTCAGCAGAATTCACAGGCCTCCAGTCACTGTGCCAGGGCCCTAACGACTACACCACACAGTCAGCAAGCTGGATTCATGCAAGTAACATTATTAGGGATGGCTGCCAATAATTCATAGTAATTCTTTGCATTTATATAGCATTTATCATGCCAAAGCATCCCAGAGAGCTGCACATACAGGAGGGGTCTCACTCCCCAGTGACACACAGCAGCCGTTCTGCACCACCAGCTGGACACAGACGGCACACCAGGTGGGAAAGTGAGAAATTTCTTCAGCTTTCACAACCCCAGAGTGGAACTTACACTGGACACCAAGATTAACACCTCTATACTTACAAGCAGTGCCACGAGATCATTATTGATCAAGCACCTTGGTTTAAAGTCTCATCGAACGGGTGGAGACTCCTACAGGACAGGGTTTGCCATCACCATACTGGGGCTTTGGTTGGGAAATTCTGGTTCAGGGGGAAGTGCGCCACCTACTGGTCCACCAACCACTTTACAGCAGCAGTGTCCTGACCAGGTCCAGTACTGACCCACCCCACTACTGACCAGGTCCAGCTTTGCTGAGCTTCTGAGATCAGGCAACAAGACAAGTACCCTGTCTGTCAGTTTGTACGTTTAATTATATTTCACTTTAATCAAATTGTTTTTAATCAAATCCTTTAGTGCTCCTTATACTTTTCTCTGTCTCTTTCCTCATTAAATGGGAAACTCCTAACGCATCAAAATATTTGCTGCTTCTGTATTCTCAGAAGCCAGTGCTATGGCATTGCTCAGTAAGAAATGTGAAAACGGCAGGTTGCATTAGTATAAAAACCAATGTACAGTATATGTGCATTATGAGAAATTCATTTCTTGTTCCTCTTACGTGTAAGCTGCGTCAGCCTGCACTGTTTTAGAAAGTAAACAATTAACAAGAAGGTACAAAGTGCCAGACCTGTCTTTATTATACGACCTTTACTCTGTTTTATAGCACTGTGGTTTTATTCTGTGGCCAGATTGTTCAGATTGCCTTCTTCTGTGTTAACTAACAGGTACATCCAAGACGAAACCATGTTCAGGTAAGGATATTTTAAAGTCGATTTCTGTTTTAGACTGTGGAAGTGAAAGACAAGGGAAGGAAACATGACTCTTTTACTTCCAGCTAATCTTCTGTCATTAAAATTTACCCAGATTAGTTTGAGAGTTAAACTTATGGTTTTTACACAGACCCAGAAACCATCTACCAACATTTTTAAAAACGTTTTCATATCCTCTGTAGCTGACCACTCCATTTAGAGATACTTACTCATTAAAGCCTTTGAAAAAACATGAAAATTACAAAGCAAACCAACATCTTTACATCATTCTATTTAATGGGATGTAACAATGCATTTACATCTGTCTTGTTATGTGTTCAAGAGAAACAAAAAAGACAGCTTGAATTATACGTAGGTGGCTTCATTAGATTTTTTAGTTTTTTATAAATCTTATATTTACTATATATGCAATAAACTTTATATCTGATGAAAATGACATTTTTAAATAGATATGAATATAGAATTTATTGTAGGATTTTTTTCAGAAATAATTTAAAAACTGCACCCAAAAGTGATGATCCTCCAAAACGTCTTTTATCCATAATTTTACTGACAATCAACGACAAATTAGGGGTTGACAGATACTCATACTGTCAAGAGCAGAAACTCCTTGTCTGTTTTATTTATAAACCACCAGCTGGCAACTGATGGATTAAGACCCATAATGTCTGTCAAAACTGCCTATTTAGAAACTCAGCTATGATAATCAGCAAATGTAGCATATTGAACAAAAATGAAATAAGTTTTCATAATAATTGTTAAACTGTCTACATGGAAATTAGAACTTATAACTGTATAATTTATTGTATCAGACATTGAAGTTAACAATTTTGCCACACTAATAGGAAATTGAACTGATTTAGTGCAATTGTGTTGTTTAGTACCATTGTACTAATTGGACAGATTTAAAACTTGACTGTTTTAGTGATGTTTGTAGTTAATTACCAGTAACGCATCATGCAAAAATAATTTACTGCTTGTTTATTTTAATGTATGGTGAAATGTATGACTAAAAAATATGTTCATTTTTTGGTAAAAACGGTAGAAACATTAAGGTTATCTTAAAACACAGGATTTATTCAAGACTGGAATAACAGAGCATTGTACTATAACACTATTATGATTGAGAAGTGTTGCTCTATGCTGTAACAAAACACTGAGATCAAGGAATGATTACAGAAACAGGCTGGGTGGCCAGTTTTTTGTATGGAGTTGGGTTACACTAGCCAAAGTGAGTTGATTAAGAATAAGTTTAGCCAATTAAGAAGATGTAGCTTTCATGAAAGCAAAAGATACAATCATGTGTTTCTTGAGCAATAAAGATCACCCAGTTGCTACTGTTTATGCATGACTGACATGACTGAGTCATGATTGGCAGACAGAGGCAAATTAGTAGTTTAATTAGTAATCAGGCAAGAGCCAAATTAGAAGTTTAATTTATAAAGTCCACTGTGCACTACAAAAGGTTACTTAGACACAAAAGTTCCTCATAATCCCTATTTTGCTTTTGTCCTTATTTTCTTTCAGGTTTTTCCTTTTGTCCACCATCTCTGTTTTCCTCAGTGCCAGCACTGCTAGGCCACATTTGACCTGGGTAGGTATGATCTTGGTATTGTATTCATAATAATAATTCCTTACACTTATAAAACGCTTTTTTGGACACTCCCCTCAAAGCACTTTACAGGTAATAGGGACTCCCCTCCACCACAACATCTACCTGGATGATATGACGGCAGCCATAGTACACCGGTACAGTCATCTGCTCTCAGTGGTGAAGAGAACAGAGTGATGAAGCCAGTTCAGAGATGGGGATTATTAGGAGGCCATGATTGGTAAAGGCCCAGGGGGGAATTTGGCCAGGATGATTTTTTAAAGTAAACAACTCCCTTAATTCAGGTAGAAAATTAAATTGTCTTTATAATTTGAAGTAGGTTCCCTCATACACAGCTATATACAGTAAATGCAAGAAATTAATCATGTATTAATCGAGCAGTATAGTGCAGTATACTTCTATAATTTCTAGACGTTGAAAGACAATGTGGATCACTTGTACCTAATCACTAGGTTAATAAAAATTATGACTGTCAATTTGAGAAAGCAGACAAAATTGCGATATTTTTAAATGCTGTCTAAGCAACAGTGATTTTTGCTTTACAGAAATGTATAAACACAGCAGTTTGAGAAACCTGTGTTTAGCTGCTGAGTGCCCACTCTTGAAAGAGCATAAAACTACATGCTCTCTGTACTCAGGACAGGATCCAGTATTAATTTCCTACCAATTGTATTTTTTTACTCCACATGTGAGTCATTCAGTTGTGAAGCATAATTGATTTGTGAAGTCATGTTGCAATGTCACATGAAGGTAACAGTTTTTTTAACACTGTCGTATCTTTGCAGGAAGAAGTGGACCCTGGTCAATATCAAGATGTTGTGCTGTAAGTTTTTTATTTACCCTGTGTTAATTCCTTACTGAGATGGTTAGAACACATGGTAGTTACTGTGATAAATCCTAAAGCCTTCCTGTTGAAAAGCAGCATCTTTGCTCTTCGCTGGTCACTCTGCTTCTTCAAGCCCAAGGAAAGCCAAAGACTTGGAGAGCTGTCTTATGCCGGCCTCACACTACAGGACTTTTCCTAGGGTTTTCAGTCGTAGCCTTCCTTTACATAATCGTGAGAAAATCACAGCGAGTTGTAGAGAGTCACAGCGCGACTGTCAGTACCGTCAGTTGTGTAGTGTGACACCCCCAGCGACTCAGTCATACCGCTCTTAATAGCCCCTACGACTCCCTGCGACTCGCTACGACAAAATGAAACTGGCGAGTCGCAAGTCGTAAGGGTGGTTTCTAGCGTCTGCGGCAGTCAACAGCCAATGAGCGCTCATCCGGAAGTACAATACAGACAACGCCCACAAACAGTGAAGAACAATGGTGGCTGCAAGGAAGGAAGAAAAGCGTGCGTTTTGGACGGTGCAAATGGAGGAGAGGCTCGTCAAACTTTGGAGCCAGCACAGAAGTCTGTTTGATGTTTCGTGTTTGTTGTTTGTTTACTTCTGTGTGGTGCTCCTCTTCTTATTCCGTTGTGCTCCACGTTGATTGGCTGCCAAAATGAGGCGACCTCGCGGTACTTTCGTGGCGCAATACGAGATTTGGAACCGTGATGAAAAGTTGTGAGGGAATCGTGTAATTTGTCACCTCCTGCGATTCCTAGTCATTTAATTTGAAACCCTCTTAGACAGAAAAGGCAGCAAGATTCAGCAACTGCAGTCGTGAAATTTGACATGCTCTCCAACTAGAAGTCGGGTCGAGCCATGTAGTGTGACAGAACCTGGTCATTAATAACAGTGATAACATCCCACGTCAGGACAATGATTAAATGATTAAAATGATGTTCTTGCCAGCCAGCCACCTCAATGGTGGTTTTCTTAAAACAGAACATATTTAAGGAGGCCATATTGAGATAACCTGTTTTATTCTCATACATCTAGAGATCTAGATGGGAAGCTGTCTGTGGACATCAGGCAGATCGAACCTCCGGAAGGGTTAGCGATAACTGATGAGGATGTCCACCCTGGAATGGCAATCTGGAAGGCTGTGAGACACGTGACGGAGCAGGCCCATCTCAAAGCCGAAGAGGACAGGGACGATCTGGACCACCCCTTCTCTGCCGAACACCTGGCGCAGGCCCTCGGGCCCCGGCAGTCCCCCGAGCTGGGCATCAGGAACGCCGCTGCTGCCGAGAGACGCCAGGAGGCAGACGAGCTTTACCACGCCTTTCCCAGAGCCAAAGACTCCGCACAGGCCCGTCAGGATGCAGAGTTCCACCTCCCCCGGGACTTTGCGGGCCTGTACGCCTCGCAGAACCAGGAACCTGAAGACGATGTGGATCACATACACCACCCCCCCCAGCCTGGCCCGCGACACAACCCAGCGGTCCAGACAGAACCGGTGAGCTACGAGGTGAAGCACCAACCAGAAGAAGACCGGGACCCCATCTACCACGGCGTCTAAAAACCAGGGCTGGTTCACTCTTCCATCTGCTTCATTTCTGAATAACTGATGCTAAATCACAGGCCTAACCAAAGCTACTCGGTTGACTTGTCTTTAAATGCGCAGAAGAAGGATTAGTTTGTAAGAGCTGTTTTCTAATGGGGAGAACCTCGCTCTCGTCACAGGCGACTGTCTTCTGTCACACTGAAAGCTTGGCCGAGTAAGATCCCAACTGAAATCCTCTTTAAACATGGAACACTTCTGCATAAATTGGCTAAAATAAAAGCTATTGTTAACCGTTTTGATGTGTTTGTCATATTTTTCAAAAGATGCCAGAGCGTTAATAAAAAAATACAGCTAGAACCAGTCTGTACTTGCTTTGGTTTGAACGTACTCAGCTTTGTGGCACAAGCGTGTAAGAATGGATGAGTTGTTTTAGATTGTTCTTGGTGTTGCCCGGGGCTTTTCTGATCCCACCAGAGCTGCCCTGTTGTGAGCTCCCTGCACCCCAGTTCTCTATTTTAAATACTTCTAAACTATTCTACACATGTATTTCCCATGTAATGCACCTGGGGACCTCAGGCTCAAATGCAACCCCTCTACAGGTTCCATGTGTCAGGACCCCCCATGTGCCATCAACCTGAACCCCCCTCACTGCTCCAGACTTCCAGCCATGCAGCAGTGTCTCAGCATGGAACAGTAAAAATGCACAATACATCTCTGAAACTCTTGCCCCCCAGAAAGCTAAACATTTATTGCAAATGCATTAGACAACTTTTGTTGAACAATGTTACAATATGTATATACTGTATAAACTGGTGCATCCCTTGAATATGTTAGAAGACTGATTTTATTTAATGTGCAGGTAACTGTTTGCCTTGTTTCGGGTTCCGACCAAATGAACTTTTCTTAAAAAACCTCTCCCTGCTTGCAGACTGACAAGAACCTCACTTTTTTAAGATGTCCCGGGACCCTGAGCTTGAGGTCACAGGCAGTTTTCCAGTCAGCAGGAGTCTTCCGCTCCTATGACACCTTTCTTGATGATCAGGTTAGCATACAAGGAGGTCTCTCTGAGAACAGATGCAAGACAAGGTGCTGTGTAAGTAAAGATCAAGTTTCACTGCATGGAAATCAAGACCTATACAGTATATCCAGTTTTTATTATTTCAATGACATTCCCTGAATACTGTTTTTCATTATCTCTCAATGGTAAATTTATCCAGTAAAGCAATGGTTTATTCTTTTCAGGCTAGGGAATTCTGATAAGGCAAGGTCAGGCGATTCTGACTGGACCTACCAGCTGAACTGGGTATTGACCAGCAGCAGAGCCTATGTTTGACATTCACATGTGGAAGTAATGCTTGTTCTCACCATTTGCAGCCAGTCAATGAACAAACATTTGGGCTACCTGAACGGGCTGATTTTAATTTGGGATTTATGCACAAGACCATATTTCCGTCCTTCGGATGAGACATTAAATCGAGGTCCTGACTCTCTTTGGTCTTTAAAAATCCCAGGGCGTTTCTCGAAAAGAGTAGGGGTGTAACCCCGGCGTCCTGGACAAATTTCCCATTGGCCCTTACCAATCATGGCCTCCTAATAATCCCCATCTAGAAATTGGCTTCATTACTCTGCTCTCTTCCCCACCGATAGCTGATGTGTTCTGGCGCACTATGGCTGCCGTTGCATCATCCAGGTAGGGCTGCACACTGGTGGTGGTGGAGGGGAGTCCTCATTACCTGTAAAGCTAGGGGCTTTGAGTGGAGTGTCCAGAAAAGCGCTATATAAGTGTAAGCAATTATTATTATTATTGTTATTATTATTATTGGACGTTCATACACAGAACCATTCAGTAAAAGTGACTACCTGCTCTGGCCTGATTGTAAAGGGTTAACTTCACTTGATGTTTAGACACATACATTGCTTAACATGGAATTCAGTGAATTACTGAAAGAAAACTCAAATAAAATCTTTTGTTCCATTTGTTTACTGCACAGGCCCAGTATGATGAGCTTTAATACACCTAAGAAGAGTAATTATTATTTTCTTCTTTTAAAACCTATAAAAAAATAAATAAATCTTACCCTGTGGCGACAACAGCAAATGCTTTCTTAGCCCGTTCATAAAATGCAAACCTTTCCAGCTTTTCTAAAGGTTTCTGGAAGAATGAAAGAAATCAGATCCCTCAGACACACTTACCAAAAGCCTCCTGTTATCTACAATACCATCTTCTACTCCAAATGAAGGACTGCAAATTACAGGAACCTTGCTGATATACCACCTCCTAACAGTTCTTATGACTTCTGTGTCTTCTGCAAAGACAGCTGCTTCTGAGAAAAAACCTGGCCATTCAGCATCAGATATCCTTCACAGTATGACTGAACCGGAGCATGCATTTACATCAACATATTAAGCAAGAAGCACACGATGCATTTTATTTAAGCTGCAAAAGGCTGATAAAAGCTGAAGTCCCTTAGACTCATCTGATTGCACTATAATAGTAACTCACTGACATCCGATCCAGCTTGATGCAGAAGCTCCTGATACACGTCCCACACATGCACCTTCACCCCTTTCTGCTTGTCACTGTCCACCACGTCCATCACGGCCGCCTGTCACAGCAGACACAGACGCTGGCCATTAGAGACAGGGCGCCATCGCTGACTCGAGCAGTGCACAGAGGACTCGTGGCACCATTTTAGTCTTGCGGCTGGAACGGACACCTCTAGCTCGTGCGAGTGCAGAGATGCTAGTGTGAGCTGGCAGATGACATTTCAATCTTCAGACCCCCCCTGCAGGGATGATCAATTTAAACACGACTTTGACATATGGAAGTCATAAGCTGGATGATCAGCAATCACGCACTGTACTTTCATACTGGGGGACCACTGCCTTGGTCTTTGAATGAAGGGAGCAAACAGAGGTGGCCAGATTGTGTTTTTTAAACACAGCCTACCCAAGGTCCGCGGCACATGGGATTGACTGAAACTCACTGACCCACCAACAAACTTGAACTCCAACTTTATTTGTCATTACACTTACACGGGTGCGTAGTATAGTGAAAAGTGTTTCTCAGTAGTCTCTCAGGTGCAGTATATAAAAAGAACAGCAGACAAGAGAATTGACAGAAAGACAATAACAATAACAGTGTAAACAACAGTATGGTGCCAGGGCAAAATTGTCAAAAACTATACGCAAAACAGAGAGAGTATACAAACAGGACAAAAACAGTGTGAAAGTAATACGGCGAACCGTGCAAAAATAATACGGCGATTGATAAATAGTGCAAATAGTGCAACTAGTACAGTTTTAAGTACAATTTCGGCTTACATTCAGCTGTCGTGTATGTAGTGGTGTAGGAGTTAATGTATGTGGAGTATGGAGTGTGTATGGAGCAGTAATGACTCTGACAGGCTGTGTTGCTGGAAGACAACTGACAGCCATTTGTCTCTCTAGCTAAATTTGCAGAAGGAGCTGCAGATAGATTTGGGCCTTTCAAATTCAGGAGATCAAGTGGGTCACATAAAAGACATGCTGATGTGGCAGTTTAGAAATCATTCTTAAAACGCACCGTTTTAAATGACCACCTTTATAAGATCATTAACATTGTATACAAAAGCCAAAGATGAGGCTAATGGTGTCATTATTCAGTTCATCTCTTGTTTTATTTAGTACCAGGAAAGAACAAATGACACTAAAGGAGCTGTAATGACAGACCTGTGTACGAACCTACCGGACAAGGGACGCAAGTGTCGAGTGGAAACAGCTTCAATATGGCTCCCAGGAGCTCTGGAATACGCAGGCCTACAGTAGGAAGAAATTTATCAGGAGAGCAACTGACAAAGCAAACTGATATGTGCAAATTCATGGCACCTTTTTAAAAAAACGCCCCCTTTTTCCCCCATTCACACACCCCTCAGGATAGTTTCACTGTCTGACACAGACATCCCACAGGCTGGGCCTGCCAAGACCTTCTTTCACACAACCAAGCTCAGAAACTACCAGCTGGGGAAAGAAAAGGACAAGAGGGGCTCCCTTACCATCAGCCCTGATTTCAGCCGGCCCACACCGGCACGAGGAGGAAGTAGGAAAGTTCGCATCTGCAAGAACTGAAAGAAGAAAATAAATCCCAGTCCTGCAGCTCCCTGCTGAAAAGATGTCACCGCAAGGTATGTACTGTACGCTTCACGGCAGGGCCTGATCCGAATTGAGATGAAGATACCAGAAGAGGGAAAGAAAAAGGGGAATGCCATATTTTTCTTGCTTTTCAAATCAGTTTTTGAGCCAGAAATTTTTCCTGCAATTCACTGGAGTAAACAAGGGAGACGCTGAAAGATTGTTTTAATGTCTTCTACACCTTCGTTTTTAAGAAGCACCCATTTAGGCAGGGCTGGAATAAATGTTGTTGACCGACTTTACTAAACTATCAACAGAGTAAGGTGGACAGAACGATGTTTTGTTTGCAACCTTCCTTTTGCTCTTTTCTACATTAAAAGTCTGATTGCTGGATCTCTTTTTCTAACAATGCAGCTGGAAGGTTGTTGGTACAGGTCTCTGCTGTTTGCTGTATGTTACCTACGGTGCTCTTAGTGGCCACACATTAAACTTCCTCTACCTGGTTGACAAAGCTAATAACAAGAAATTTCAGTTGACTTCAGCAGGTGCAAACATTTTACTGTGATTTGTGTGTCTTTATAGCAACAGAAACGATACAGTTTTATCCATAATCCTTTATAACTACAGTTGAGCGTTTGTCCTTCAGTGATAACTCAAGCATTGAGTTATTCTGTCAGATCGTTGCAAGATTAGGAAATTTGGCTTTTAAAAGAAAAGTGCTGGCACTAAGAAACTATCGAGCGAAATGACTGGGCGGTGAAAGCCTTTAAATAGCGAACATGGCACATCTAAGACGTATGCGCATCTACCGGGGTCCAAAGTTAGCTGGCAAATCAAAGCGCTCACTTTCCGGCTCGTCTCCAGATTTCCTTCTCTCTACAGCTTTTATTTCTGATGAAGGGCACGTAAGCTGAAGTAAGCTGAAGTCATCTCCCACCCATGCTACCGTATAGTATTTTAAGTAAGTTAAGACCGGTGGGGTAAAGTATAGTAAAAAGTTGCCGTAGCCGTGTTATAAGCCTGTATATTGTTGTCATTGAGAGGCCCGTACGTGCGCACTGTCCGAGCGAAATCACTCGTTTACCTAGCTCATCGCCGTGACCCATTTTCGCCAACGCATACAACAGGTCTGGAGAAATGATAGACGGTATTCCTTTCAAAACGACCATCTCCGCAGCAGAGCACAACCTGGACACAGCAACACAGACTCGGGAGGGTGGAAATAGGGAAGTCACATGACGGCCGTCTCCTTCCGCGATTGGTCCGCAATGAGGAAGTGCTCTCTCTCTCTCTCTCTGTGCACATGCAGCCCTGTGCCTGCTGGGGGGCTGCGTAACCTTACCGGGGAGCTGAAAGGGACCCCAATCCGAGCGCCGTGGGAGCACAAACTTGAACCCTGCAAGTGTACTCAGCGCGCCCAAGTGTCAAACGGCTGTCATCCAAAACGATTCGCAGCGTTTGAGTTGAGGGCTAGCAACGTGCCTGCGGTTCTGCCGGAAGATGAGGTTCTGTTGGACCAGGCGGAGCAGCCGCACTGACTTGCGGGACCACAACATTCAGTACGTTTTCATCGCGGGATGTAAAGCCGTGATTAGCATCGTGCTATATTTAGATGTAACGTGTTTTTAATCAGCAAATCGACCCCTCACCACACACACACACACCCCAAAGCGGAAAACTTTTGTTTCATTTTACTCGGTGACCAAATGTAATCTTTGGCATGAGATCTCTTTTTTTTCACTGCTCGGGAGGACGACGCTCGTGTCTTGTAAAACCCTCGAGCGCCGTGAGGAAATGTTGGTCTTTACAGATCACAAACTGTGTGAAAGATTAACCGCTCTGAAAATACTCTCCAATATCCTATTGGTGGCGAGAATCCGAGGAGGCAGCTCTGTCCGCCTCTGGTCCGCACGGCCCTAGTTAGTCCAATATCTGCGCCATCTGTCGGGGAAGACAGGTACTGCGTGACTGGTTGGTTGCTTTATCGGGGTGGAAGTAACTCGGTATCATTTCTGGTACTATAACATGACTTGAGCTGTGCTGCGTATAGCTTTTCGTGGACGTGTATATTTATTATTTCATGTACAATCTATAGCATTGCTGTACATTGTACTATTACATCGTATGATTGATCGGCGCGCTGCTGTTAATTTATTGCTGTTTTTTTTCTTCACTTACTCTACGATGTATTTAACTTTTCATATTTCACATTAAGACTCTATTATGATAATTCCCGTGGGAAAATCTTGTTTTGTGGCACAGTTTCAAATAAAACAACAGAACAACCATCACCGACAAAGAATTCAGGACAAACATTTCGGCAACACACTTCCAATGAATACTAGAATAAAATGAAAGACAATTATACAGGTTTTATTTTTTTTAAATATTACACAAGCATTTTAAATGTAATGGCCCCTGAATGCTAATGGTGTATGTTAAATAGTTATATTTGTAGTAATAATAATAAACATTAAAATTCAGACTGTGTTATTCTAAAATACGTTTACCAGTATCATTCCAATGTGTTATTTATAATATAGCTGCTCGGTAGAATCAGTCTGGTTCTGTGTCCCGTCTATAATTTGTCACGAAGTTTATTTCTCCAGCCAGGCAGCGTCTCAAGAATAAATATTCGATACATGCAGGTCCGTTGGTGAATTTAATTTAAAACTACAGCTCCAATACGTTATTAGATGAATAAACAAGAAAGAAATCGTTATCTGTTCCTTGTTGATGGGATAAAAATATTGCATCATTTGCATTAGTTTCTAAGGTTTAATAAATGGATATTATACCGGAAATGTAAACAGGCATTTTTAATTACAATAAAGTTAGGACGACTCAAGATAAAAGAGTTGTTCAACATAAGAACACATTGTTGCTGTTTAAACAGCAAATGATTAAATCGAGAAAACGAATATCATAAGAATTCTAAACGCGATTAATAACAGCTGTCTTGTGGGATGTTAATGAACATGTTCAAAAGAGACAATTCGGACTTCGTTATTCGAACAAAACAAATCTTTTATGTGACTTGAAAATTGTACGAATGCTTCTGCCCCTGCAAGGCGTATACTAGTGTTTCATTGTAATTATTCAGACTGAGGGAGATTTGGCAATGTGGGCTGTGGGAGAGTGACCACAGAATACAGTACGCTTGCTGTATTAGTTCTAACAAATTAGCCCGTCCTGGCCTCCGGAAAACTTCCGTTCATCTTAAACACATCAACGACATTTTCTTAATACCGACGGATCTAGTGTAAAGACATTTAAGACGGTCTCAATGCAAACGGATTTCAACGAACAAGAATACATTTACTGAGTGAAATAAAATGATCTTTAAATTGTTTTAAAGCAGTTAAAACCCTCACTTGTATACAGCATTTGATTGAAATACAATTAAAATTGTAGTAAATAAACAGTTCCTAAATTATACAATTTAGCGTTATTTCAAAACTGTGCGATCAAAAAGTATCAGGACGAATAAAATTGTTCTGATCTGGCATAAGAAATCATATTTAGATTCTCAATCATGTTTTCCCTAGTTTACCTAAAAGATTTATTGTCTATTTTGCTATCCATAAGAAAGTCCTGTTTTCTCAAAGCTAATGGCGGTTACTTCAAAGTGAGACTCTTTCTAATATCTCTGCTTGAGAGTTATTTCGATAATTATTCGCCCAATTTGTTATTAAAAGTGCCTTTTCTCCTTTGCCGCGGGATTCCTCTCTGGGGAAAGCTAGCTGGAGTGCATGGGGTTCAGTTGTTTTTTAATTTTATTATTTCTTTGAAGTGATCTGTTTATCAGAGGGGTTAAATTCTCAGTTATCAATCAATGGCGACGTTTTTTTTTCCACAACTTTGTCTTTCCTACGTGACATATTCCCTTTACAATCACACGCATCACTTGCTCCGCTCAAAAGAAGGACAAAAGAAAATTGTTTCACCTCTTACATTGATTCAGGGATACTAGCAGCTGGTCACCTCCCCTAATATGATAAAAACTAATAACGATAAATAAGAAAGAAGGACCTATTATTGTCATGTTAATCTCTGCAGTATGGAACTATCTATGTTATATATTTAAGTTTAAATAGTAGTGTATTTTTCTTTAAAAATTCGAGCTCATCCGTCTCCTTTCAGATGAGGATTTCTACCTTTTAAAACAAGAGCACACTACTATCTGACGCGGTTTGTGCGGATGTGTTCAGTTCTGTTTTGACTTGGGTATTTGGTCGTCGCAGGTAGGCTGTCTATATTGAAAGAGGCTTCAAAGAGCGCACAATCTGCGGACGGACTCAGGAATTTGTTAAATGCGGATATTTGAAGAGATGAACGCCGCTTCACGCGGCGAGGCTAGCTGAATATGAAACTCCTCAGAAAAAACATTTCAAGACGGGAGGAAGGAGAAAGAAAAAAAAAAGAAGGAGACGAGCAGCGCGGACCATCGGGTGAATTTTAATTCCGCGTAAGCGTTCGGATCTGCATGAAAAAGGGTTGAGGAGCTCAAATCGAGTTACATAAATAAAGCCAGCGCCTCGGCCAGAATAATGCGCCCAAACGTGCAGCTGCTGCTGATGGAGGTGACTTTTTCTCTTCCCTGATGAGGTTGTAATTTAGAGGAAATTTCTATTTGGGCTTTTTCAATGGAAGTGTGGAGGCGCTGCAGCTGCGGTCTTCGGGAAGACGGGGAACGACAGACTGATGAAGGAATGAGAAAGGAGAAGCGGAGGAGCCAGCGCTGTCTGATCAGTTGAAAGCTCTATTCTTTATCCGGGGGCTCACGCTGTTCCGCTTTGGTTCTGCTTTTTTAAATGAGTTTATCACGCTATGAGGGGCTGCCTCTGCCAAAATGTAACGTTTTGCCTCCTTTGTCCCCGCTGAACGCTTCAATTTGAGTCTACATTTATTATTTTGACCTTTCGTTAGCAGGGGATGGACTTCAAAGTAGAAGCTCTGTTTTTTTTTTCTCCCTCCTTTAAGGAAACCTTTGTGCCGTCTCTTCGGTGTGAGAAGCTGCCCCCTTTTTTTCTCGCGCTCCTTTTTCAGAAGTTTTGTTCCAGGAGTCGAGAAGAAAGCCCGCGCTGGGCGAATATTGAAAGAAAATAAAAATCAATTAGGCTATGGGCTTGTGAAGAGAGGGCGAAGCTGTGTGAAGAAAGCCCCGAGATCACAGGGAAAAAAGTGGCTTTAGAGATGGGGTGGAAATAAAAAGCTCCCGCTTTAATCAAATCGGCTATGGTTTTACACGTCCAAATCCAAGTTGTCTGCTTCTGTCGAAGCAAACCTTTTTGTGACTTGCAGGTATTGTTAATTTCAGAATATGCATTGTTTTGGCATCGCATAATATGAACTTTATATCCATTTGTTTAAAAAAAATAGCGTAGTGTATGTCTCTTTCACCAAGTCGGTATTTAGCTTGCCCGTTAAATTTTGTATACGTTACCGAGGGATAAAAATGTGTAAATCAGACGGTTGGTTGAAGTAAACGACTTCAAGCTCCCATTATGAACACTCTCTTGAACAGTCTTCGTTGTTTTTATATAGCCATCAACCCTATTCCATTTTTTCCTAATTATCTAAAAAACATTTTCAATACAGAGGCAATACTAATTGTGTTACTACGTATTATATTGGGTTTATTTAACATCTAGGATACCTAACGGGGTCCAGAATTTACAGCGAATTTCTACATCTTGGTGAGAAATGCCAGGAGCAAGCGGGGTAAATTCCACTCTGCAATCACACAGTAAAAACACGCTGATCCTCAGGTGTGGAGGCTCAACAGCCGAAAACCGCGTTTCTTCTCTGCATCCCGCACACTGACGCGGCTCCCGTCTAGACAAATCGTCTCTTCCTCAGAATTTATCAACAAAAGAAAAAATAGTAACAATGTAGGATGTTGAAATGTGATTGAAATACGCTCGCTTTAACGTTTGTGTGCGTGTTTTTTTTTAAATGCCTTTCACTGTTTACATTATGGTGCACCCAACCACGCAGTCAAAAGTATTAATTCAAAGTGAAAACATCTGAAACGCATTATTCCAAACCAGCCACTGAAAACAGCCGAATCACTACAGCAGCGTTACATTCACATGTAAGAGATGGATTACAATGGAAAATGTATTTCAATTACCACGTTGAGATCCAAGAGTGTGTGTGGTGTGCATAGTTTTGACGCTATGACTGGTAATTATGATCATTTGATTTTTTTTTATTATTTAATAAATCTACAATGACGCTCTGGACGTAAATCAACAGACTTCCAACGCAGGCGGGGGGGGGGAAGAGAGAAACTGTAAATTGTTCAGCCACAGAACTTGCCATTTATTTGGACCTTTTATTTTTGTTTTCTAGTCGGATCCTTTACACACGCGCTTCTCTTGTAGGTTCTTTAAAAGCCCACGATCGGATAATGTGACATTAAATAGATGCTGCTGGGAAAAGGGGCAGTTGACTAACCCGCGTCAGTACACTTTAAAGGGCTTATACAGTACGACGACCACCTGTAACTTTTTAAAAGTTCTTAATCGCATAAATCGTGAAACACACCTCTCTCTGCGCCTGAACACCTCGTAAGTTACGCTACAGGCTGACGTGCTGGAAGATCAAATCAGGCTTTGGAGTTATTATATAATTGATATAATATCATCATTTTCATAAAAGCCCGAGTTGTATTTAAAGAAGAAAAAAAATCAATTATATAATTTTAGTAGAAGCCCAGTTTATATTTAAGCAAGAAAAAAAAACCCAATAATAACAATGCGGTTGTACTGTCAAGGCTCATATTAAAATGTGAGACTGGAATAGCTGTACAATCGTGATGACGACCCTTAACCACAGTTTAAGACTAATAATAATAATAATAATAAATTGCTTGCACTTATATGGCGCTTTTCTGGACACTCCATCAAAGCGCTTTACAGGTAATGGGGACTCCCCTCCACCACCACCAGTACTGTTTTCTTTATCTTTTACTCAGTGTGTAATTCTGAATTTATTTTTTAGACCTATTGTACTGTACGGCAAATGGAAACCAAAAATTCCAGACTTATTTCACTGATAAGTAAATGATTTCCAGACATGAATAACATGATAAAGTGCACGCTTATCTATTAAAACAGATCATTTCGGAAGTGTGGTTCTCATACACGATGTCTTTCATCAAAAATCACCTCATTAATTCTTCAGTAGGATGTTTGGTCTATTCATTCATATACACAGTAAAATCCAGCAGTAAATTCTACTGTATATATTTTGCAATTAGCGTTTCACTCGACTTTTTAAAAATTTAGAAGGATTTATATAACGTGTTCAATATAAAACGCAATCGACGGGGTGATTTCAGTAGTTTAAAAGCTTTTACAGAGGGACGTTGAGAGATTGTGAGCCAACCTTACACTGATAAAGGTCTGACCGCAAGCATATCGGCTGTGCCCCGGCCCCGATAATTATTGAGATTTACGGCGTGCGCATATACATAGTCTGTACTGTAGCGCCATCTAGCGGGTATTCAGACTAAATCCCGATTTCACTATAGTGGAAAGAAATTTAGAGACGCAGACGTTATATTCAGACGTAGACTATACAAGTGCTAGAATCTCTGACGTTTCGGAACGAGTAATAGGTATATTCCATGCTGAAAAGAGAAGAAAGGAAACACAACGTATCGGCAGTGGAGCCTTCTTCGGGTGTAAGCTAAAACACAGCCGAAACGTTGTGTTTTCTCTCTTCTCTTTTCAGCATGGAATAAACATATTCCTTGTTCCTTTGCAGCCTACGCATGCTGACGCAGCTACCTACCCGAACTCTCTGACGTTTTGTCTTATTATATTATTTGATTTTCTAATATAGATATAGTCGAGTCAGTCCGGCTGCCCATCAGCTCAGACAGTACTCCCCACTGGCTGCCTCCTCTCCACCTTAGCTCTCCTGTCGGCGGCGCTACCCACCAATCAGCACCTACAGGAGGTCTGTCTGTTGGAGGCGGCCGGCCCACGTGCTCTCACCCAGGTTTCTGCTAATTCAACATAGTTAGTCATAGATTGCTTTCCGCCACAAATTACTTTCTTCCTAGCAAAAACAAAATCTGTGTTAAGATCACAGTGTAAGTTATGAATGGATTGGAAAATAGGTCTAGAAATGTGAAGACCTGATTTCTTCCAGGCAAATCCCCAAAACCACTGGCTGGGATGATAAAGCTGTAGCAAGCAGGCAAGACGGTCAGATACATCACCAAGAGCGGAATCCACAACAACAGAGCTGCTGCAGACAGGCACCTAGCCAGGTAAACCAATGTCCTTTACAGCTGCATATTTTTTCTTCCAAATTCACAGCATTCAAATAGCTCATTTATAATACTGAACACAGTAACACTAAATTTACAGAAAGAGTCTAAAGATAACCATTAATTTCACGGCAGTCAGTGGTATTGCTAATATAGATAAGCCAGCAGCCGAATCACCCTGCAACTCACAACTACCAGCCCACTGAAGCTCATCCTGGTCAGTACCTGGAGGGGAGACTCCTGGGAAAAACTAAGGTTGCTGCTGGAAGAGGTGTCAGTGAAGCCAGTAGGGGGCGTTCACTCTGCCATCAGTGTGGGTCCTAATGCCCCAGTAGAGTGACAGGGACACTATACTGTAAAAAGGCACCGTCCTTCAGATGAAATGTAAAACTGAGGTCCTGACTCTCTGTGGTCATTAAAAATCCCAGGGCGTTTCTCGAAAAGAGTAGGGATGTAACCCCGGCGTCCTGGCGAAATTTCACATTGGCCCTTACCAATCATGGCCTCCTAATAATCTCCATCTCTGAATTGGCTCTGCTCTCCTGCCCACTGAGAGCTGGTGTGTGGTGAGCGTTCTGGCGCACTATGGCTGCTGTCACATCATCCAGGTGGATGCTGCACATTGGTGGTGGTGGAGGGGAGTTCCCATTACCTGTAAAACACTTTGAGTGGAGTGTCCAGAAAAGCACTATATAAGTGTAAGCAATTATTATTATTAATATGAAGGATACAGGAAGAACTGAAATAGTAGATTTAAAGTGGACAAGGCACAAGTCTAGCATGGGCTGAAAGGGACCAGGAATGGAGTCTTTCAGAAAATGAAGCACACGGGGAGAGGTAGTTATGTATAGCCATGTGAGAATTCCTACTTCAGTCAGGTGTAAGTGACCACACTGTCCACTGGAAAGGACATCTTTAATGAAGAAAAAGGCAAGATCTGAGTATAATGTTAAACAAACCGAAAATACAAGAGAACTCAAAACCGGAGAACTACATTTCTTACATTATTCTACAACCTGGACTGTTCAACATTCATTGCTAGAAGCACATGCAAATCTATGGCTAGTGATGTAGAATGACAGGAGGCCCAGTTTGATATAATCTTAGATTTTGTGTTTGCGATTAATTTGTTTGTTTCTAATATTTTGAATATTCAATATAAACATGTGCTGTGTGTGGATTAAATGAAGAGTGAATATTTTACTGCAAAGATGTTATTCCTCATAGCTCCAGGTCAGCAATTATCATAGTTTGTACTTCTCCATAAAATAAAACTGTCCCCTCATGTGTCCTCTTCACAGTTGATGACTCCTTCAGATCCCTTATGCCATAACTACAGTTCGTATTAGACTCTGCTAGCAATCCGATTAATTGGTAACGAGCGTCACTATGGCTTTCCCTGTATTTTCTGAGTTTGCAGTCTGCTGAGATCTTTGGTATCAGAACCAGAATCGGAGCACTGAGGAGGATACAGTTCATATCTGTATGATTTTCTTTCAAGTTTCAGGTCATTCATTCTTAAGAGTACACAGCCCTTTATTCCCCCTAACCTCAAATTTTATTTGAGGAACTAAAGGATATTTTGATTACAAATAATTAAAAAAAAAGTGCTCCACGTTGATTTTCTTTCCTTGGATTACTGAAGCTGGCTAGCTTGGAACACGACTCTTTCAGATGACAATTCGCTGAAGTGAACACATCAACCCACGCTGTGAAATATTGATTATTCACCAATGCAGTGACCCGGCCGATGGCAATCCAAGCTAGATGCAATCAGACGCAGGTTGGGAGCCACAGCACGAAAGCAAGTTCCAGATACAGGCCCACTCTACAAAGAAGAGGGCCTACTAATGCTAGTAATAGCAAACGAAGATTTCTTCTCGGATTAATGTGCAGCATGACCATTGTATCTGAAGGGACCAGACAGACACCTACAATGGTTAAGGCACAGACAGCTGTACTACTCACAGCAACATCGGCGTCATGCTCACAACTCATCCAAAATATATTATGGATATATTGTGGATTACTAAAAAAAATAAATGTTTTGTATAAAACACTGCTTACAAAATACAAAAAAAAAACTATTTAATCATTGGTCAACTACAAAAAAAATAAAATGCTATATGCTGTACATAACTGCTCCCCAAAAAACCTACATGCCTGTGTGGTGGTACAGCCCAGAGGAAGGATGGTCTGTTGAAGCGCTTGGATACTGGTAGCTCTACTGCTGCACTGCAAACCCAAGACCAGCCTCCAGCTGCCTGGATAGAGTCTTTACAGCACTTGTTAGCATTCACATTCTCCAATCCAGGTTTCAGCTGGTTCTGCCTGCGTAAAGCACACTGTTAATGGGCTGTATATACTGTAGTCTGCAAAGGAACAAGTAATAGGTTTATTCCATGCTGAAAAGAGTAGAGAGAAAACACAACGTTTCAGCTGTGAAGCCTGTGAAGCTCACACCTGAAGAAGGCTTCACAGCTGAAACGTGTTTTCTCTTCTCTTTTCAGCATGGAATACTGTAAACCTATTACATGTTCCTTTGCAGACTACCCATGCTGACACAGCTACCCACCTGATATACTGTAGTATACTGCATCTCTCCTTAACCTGCAATCCTCCATCGGTGAGAGTGCATTTTATGCAAGGATTTGCACTATTCTATCAACACTACAGAGTGACAAAATTAAATGTTTGATCCGACACAGAGCTTCAGACAGAGACATGTATTAAATATAAAATCAAATCAACTACGGATCAAAATGCCAAGACCGATGCTTTCAGTTTTTAGTGGAGATCTCCTCGGTATTCTCACAAACAGCTGTGCTGTTCTGCAGGGACATTCATGAAAAACCCACAACACTTGAAACAAAATGCAGCAGAAACTACCTGAAGAACACAACAGGGAGCGTTTAAATATTAATTACTGGCAAATTTATTACCACGGAAATTATTCACAGCTGTGATATGTTTGTGAATGCTTCTATAGTACTTTGTTAATCTGTTGGTGAAGCAGAAAATAATAAAAACTGATCAATGATGAATGCAGCAATTATAGTTCTTACTTTTGTAACGCTCCTAAAAACAGTATTCTAGTTATTTTTTATATTTTTACAGGTAACGTGAAATCTCTGATCATTTCAAAACTGAACATGACTAAAAGGCCTAGTTGGTAAAACAGTTTAGGTTTGGTGTTCAGTAAACTAATCAACAGATCAACAAATATCTGCAGATGCAGGGGATTTCAGGGCAGGAACTGAGAAGATTCGCACTAGAAAACCACTGTTCAAAGGTGATTACATTCTTTTGAGGTGCAGCTGATGGTTACTTGACCTTTTCAATCCTTCTTCTTTTCCCCAATGCCGTAATGATTAGTCAAGTCCCACGCTCAGATCATTAGCAACACTATTTGTCCTTAAAGCTGGCTTTTCTCTTTTCAACAAAGGCAGTCATTCCTTCCTTGCGGTCATCCTGCAAAATACAGCAATCACATATATGTCTATCAGTATCTGCCAAAACAGAAAGAACTCAAACTCCGCAGGTGAATCTGACTCACCGTGGCAAAGGTCGCGTGAAACAGTCTCTTCTCCAGACGATTTCCTTCCGCCAAAGTCAACTCGAAAGCTGGAACGTGGACAGTAATTACTAAGATTTGTTTCAATTAAGAATACACTTAGTGTATTTAAAATGGACATTTAATTTCCATTAAAAATGCAGATTTTTCTATACTATTCATTGATTTAACCGTAGCCCTCTTTACCTTTAATTTAGAATTATTAAACGCAAATTGTATTTCATAAACACAGACCAGAAACCTCAGGACAGATTTACGACATGACAACCTGTTCAAGGTTTAAGCAGTCAACCAAAAACATGAGCAACATATCCTTTTACAGACTTACCATTACTAGTGCTTTACAAAGTATGCAGTGAAATACTGTATATTTGCAAAGATAAGTGGGGACAAGAGCCGAAACCAGTTGGCATCTCAGAATGCGGTTGGAAGTAAGCCAATGAAAGTAGCCTACCTGCATTGATAGCCTCTTTGGCCATCGCAGACACAAGCTTAGAGTTCTCAGCAATTTTCTCTCCACATCTGATTGCTTCCTGCACAACCTGATCAGCGGGGTACACCTTACTTACAAGACCTGCGAGAGGGATAAAACCAAATCATACATGTTCCCTTTCCTCACAGAAACACAACATTGCACCAACGCACACAATGCTTTGTTAGTTGTGATTAGAAACCTGCACAACTGGAGGCAGTTGGTATAGATTTTCAAGTTGTCACGTGACTTATTTTTGTGCCAATCTGATTTGTTTTGAGCAAATGATGATTTTTCTGTGTGAAATTGTCAGTGAATGGGATTTCAAATGCTTTGTTTAGAACTCTTTGGTTCTGGTTTCTGTGATATTGGAATCCCAGTTTTCCACACCTCTGGCCGCATGAAAGTGAACTGTCATTTCAATGAAGAGTGTCAGGCACCAGAGATGGAAAAATTACCATCAGACTAGTGCGCTTAAAAGTGAGAACGGGAGTGTGGAACAAGCAAACCAGCCATGTTGGTGAAGCCAGAACTCAGGCAGTACTGGCTCTGTCTCGAAAGTGAGGAAAGTGAGCCAGTAGAATAACTTCTCTCATGACACAGCTGGATGGGATCCTTGGATCAATAAGCTACAAACTACCAAACACACCAGATGGGCTGTAACGTTCAATGCCCATTCTGAGCCTGAAATAAAAAGTGCACTATAGCAACATTTTCTTAGGTGGCCACTACCAGTATATCTTGGTGGAAAAGAAGGGGTCACAGCAGAATGTGGGGTTTATCCCACATAAAAATGTGAATATAATGATCATCATGCATTCACTGCGCAACATGTAAGGAATCCCTGACCAGTTGAACAGGCGCTCTCTCTGACAGGCTGAGGCACTGTGTGGCGGAAAATGTCCAGGACATTCTCTAACCAGAACAGCCCCTGGTCCCCACCCTGTTGAAAACAGGTGGACGTCACGGACACGCCACCTGCATCCTAAGCCCACCTGAAGGCCCACCTGGCAGAACAACCTTATGGGATCAGGCTGCAGACAGCTCCTCACCTCGAGGGTTGTATACTGTATACTGACATTGAGGCCCCAGCAACAAACAAGGTGCAGTTCCACAGATCATACCTGAGGCCTTAGCCTCCTGTGCTGAAATCCTGTCTCCTGTCAGGACCATTTCCATAGCCAAAGACTTCCCCACAGCTCTCGTGAGTCTCTGTGTTCCTCCGGCACCTGACAAAAATGAATGCTGTGAATCCTAATGTGGAGAAGTTACTATAGACTGACAGTACTTCACATTATTGTACAGCAAATTTAAAGGTACCTTAAACATGCACACCATTATGATCCAAAATCATAATTACAGGAGCCTTTGCAGAAATGTCAGAAATCTTTCTGTCCACAGCACTTACGCACTTTAACTAAGAGAGTTGTTCTGTGTTGCTACATTATTTGTGATCTGGAGCATTGTTCATAGAGGAGGGTAAATGGTCTTCCAGTGGAGAGGATTATACCAGGTAAAGATATGGGTTAGAAGGAAATCAACCTTTAAAAGAAAACAGAAGAAATCTGGCTGGAAGGCCACTGAAATTTGCTTTATTCTAACATACCTGAATCCAGCTACAACTACGATACTGTTCTCAGTTTGACAAAAATTCCTGTGCTCCACCATAGCAGTGTTTCCCAGTCTTGGTCCTGAAGTACCCCTGTCTCATGTGGTTTTCATTCCAACTAAACTGTGCTCGTTTTGTTTATCAGAGTCTTAAAAACACTCCTAAGCCATGACACAGGTGTGGTTCATGCATAAATTAAGAAAATTACATCCCAGCAGGTTTAGTGTCACGTATAAAAATGCCGGACGGTTGGTTGCCCATAATTATGGCTGACATGGCTGCAAAAGGACAGCTCAGTGACTTTGAAATAGTGGGGGGAAAGTGTATACTCCTGGATTCCACAGATATGCAAAGTGCAAAGCACATCAGGGGACCAATTCAGTCAAATTTTAACCTGGGAAGCAAGCAGCCAGTCTAATCAAGAACACTGCTCTTTGGGTGCACTCATTCCCCTAGAAGGTAAGATGAATGCTTATTGCTGCTTAATGCTCCCAAGTGATCATCTTCACCCCATGTTGCTGCATGTTTCTTTCCTGCCGGGAGGGGCGTCTTCCGGGATGACAGTGCCCCCATCCACAGAGCACATGTGGTCACCCAATGGTGTGATGAGCATGGCGCTGATGTTATCCATATGGCATAGGCTTCTCAGTCTCCAGATCTGAACCCAATCGAGTACTCATGGGATCAGCTGGAACAACGCCAGAGATTGCAACAAGGAGTGAGTTAACCGACTTTGTAAAGGAAAAATGGCGCTGCAGCCCTCCTGCAGAATTCCAGGTGCTGGAAGACTCTAGGCCACAGTGCAAACAGGATGTACTGGCCGCATGTTAGATCTGACACCATATTAAGTAACTATACATTAGTGCTTCCATTTTTTTTTTTGTTCTCTACCTGTACAAAGTTAAGACAACTCAAATTTACAGAATTTTCCAATTTTGAACTTGGTTTGTTGCCTGTTGTTTTAAGTCAATGAGTAAATCTGTCTTGCGTAGTTTATAGAGTCCTGCATCAGTACTCTATACTACTGTTGGAGCTCTCAACTTTTAGACGTTTTTGAACTCCAAACAACAAACATTCCAATAATTCACTGTCATATTTTGTGAACTAATATAAATATACACAAGTTAAATTCAGTCCTGTTTAGTTAGACCGCCTCTTCATCAGAATACACAAGTTCCCGTCATCACCGAAAAAAACAAATGCTTACCAGGAATGGTTCCCAGGAGGATTTCAGGCTGTCCAAAGTGTGCTTTCTCCCCCGCATAAATAATATCACACATCATCGCCAGTTCACAACCTCCACCGAGCTTTAAGAACATAAATCACAATCAAACTACTGCTTTAGAACACACATTTAGTGAAATGTCCAGAGAACTGAAGACTGCGTGAGAGTATTATAACATTCATGTGGACAGAAATGGTAAATATACTGAAGAAATAGTTACTGGATGCCCTCTTACGCATTACAAATCACATACTCACAGCATAGCCATTCACTGCAGCGATGACGGGCTTCTTAACTGTCGAAAGTCTGTTCCAGTGGGCCAGGAAGTTACCACTGTAGCACTCCTGAAAAGTTCTGTTCTGCATCTCTTTGATGTCAGCACCAGCTGAAAAAGGTCACCCGGCCCGATTAGATCTCCGACCAGCTCAGCTAACCCAGCACTAGGAACACATGCAGTGAAGAAGGCAGTTTCCCTTTGTTCCCTGATACCATTGTGAAGAATGTTCACTGCTACACCCACATTCTCAGATTCCACTGCCAAGCAGAGGAGAGCCCTGGTCTAGTTAATGACCAGACTTGAACACGTTTTTCCAATACCTTTGAGAAGACTATGTCATGTAAAATCTGTTACTCTCAAATAAAATTGAGAGGACAGATTTACAGACTCTTGACAGATCTGTCCCAGGTTTCGGCAATCCCTTTGTATACTTTTTACGGAAAAAAATAAAAGTGGGAAATTTTAAAATGAGCTCTTACCTGCAAATGCTTTCTCACTTCCAGTGATAACTATGGCACCAATCTGACTGTCTGCTTCGAATGCGTCTAAGGCCTGACCCATCTCAGTCATCAGACCATCACAAAGTGCATTCAAAGCCTTGGGACGGTTCAGCTGGATAAACCCCACATTCTGCTGTGACCCCTTCTTTTCCACCAAGATATACTGGTAGTGGCCACCTAAGAAAATGTTGATCACAATCTTCACGTTATCTATGGTTGGATGTACTTTGAATGTGTCCTACCTTTTACAGATTAAGCCATTATTCTATTCTGCAAACAGATCAGAAATAATGCTTCAGTTAAATGTCATGTAATCTGCATAAATGGGTGCAAATCTAACTCACCCACTTGTACACAGAGGTCTTAGTTCGCCAACATATTAAAGATAGGGCGTAGCAGTTGACACGTACATTTTCCATTGAACAACAATTCTAAACGTTAACAATTTAAAACCTAAGAATCTTATAACAACGTATTAGACTCAAGATTGCAATTCAATTTTTAACAAAAAAGAGAGTACTCCGTAGTGGGGTTGGTAGCGTACTCTTACCTGAGCTACAATTTTGCGCAGCTACAAATGTGTAAGGCAATGCTTTCGCAGGCTTTAAAAGCAGAGCTGCAGTTCTGCAAAGCGCTGCCATTTTAATTGAAATACACGGTAATCTTTTCACAGTCGCAACAAATGCTTGAACTTGACACTTCTTTGCAGGCAACCCACGTCCTCTGGAAAAAGTGAAACCACGCGATATTTCCCAACCAATGGGGATAGGGGCGTCGCTGATTTAACCATAGACCAAATGACTAACTAGATTTCCCCCTATCCGCCAATACTGTCGCGGAGCCTTATGGGACCTGCAGAGTTCCGGTGTTCCAGATTTTCTATTCTATTTCTGCAGTTTTCTATTGAAGAATCTGGGTTTTATGTAGAAGTTTCCTGAAAGTTCAGATATACATGTCATATGTCATCGAATCAGACACTCGCCTGAATTTGGCTCTCCATTGTTACATAGCTGCTGTAAATAGCTGCAAGAAATGTGTTTGTGCTATATTTTCTGCAGGACGTGTCGTAGAGGTGTAGATTGGATTGCCTTATCTGAGGGCTGCATTGGGATGGATCGAAATGCAGATTGAAACACTCCTCGCAGATCCGGCGTGCTGCCTGGCTGGTGCTGAAAGTGTTCTCGGGTTGTAATGAACGAGAATGCAAATGGAGTAACAGGACATTTAACTTTACTTCAATTTAACGCGGAACAGAAAGATTGTTCTTTACCCTTTTGTGCTTTACGAGACATTCGTGTTCTTCTATTTAGCGAAACAAATTAAACTTGAAGAATATTTATGAGTAAACGAAAAGTTAAACGCCAGCATGTACAGTAGTGTGGGCACTGATTTCTAACTTTGAGATTGAAATAACTGGGAATGGCTCATTTCAAGCGACCGAATAGTACAATGATGGTATTGTGGATTTATTTTTTATTACGTTTATAGTAATTATGTTACAGGTCACATTAAAGAACACAAGCTTTGAAGTGCCACGTGATGTAGCTCTGAATTTAAACCCCTTTGCTGCGACTGGATCCTTGTAGGAAGGCAGTGTATATTAGATTAATAATAATATCCTTACCCTTATATAGCACTTTTCTGGACACTCCACTCAAAGTGCTTTACAGGTAATCGGGATCCCCTCCACCACCAGTGTGCAGCCCCACTTGGATGATGCACCAGTCCTCTCACCACACACCAGCTCTCAGTGGGGAGGAGAACAGAGTGATAAAGCCAGTTCAGAGATGAGGATTATTAGGAGGCCATGATTGGTAAAAACCAGGGGGAAATTTGGCCAGGATGCCAGGGTAACACCCCTACTCTTTTTGAGAAATGCCCTGGGATTTTTAATGTCCACAGAGAGTCAGTGCCTCAGTTTAACGTTTCATCTGAAGGACGGCGCCTTTCTACAGTATAGTATCCCAGTCACTATACTGGGGCGTTAGGACCCACATGGAGTGCAGGGTGAGCGCCCCCTGCTGGCCCCACTAACACCTCTTCCAGCAGCAACTATGGCTTTCCAGGAGTCTCCCATCCAGGTACTGGCCAGGCTCACACCTGCTGAGCTTCAGTGGGCTGCTAGTTGTGACTTGCATGTTGCTACTTAACTATTGAGAACATGATTTAAAGATTGTCCTCATGTAATCTTGTAGGCCAGCATTAGCGGTGATGAATGCTTTTGCAGAAATAAAATACAAACCGGCAGTACTGCATTCCGTCTGGGGAGAGAAGCTACGTATTTAAAAAGACTAGCGTGAATTAAATGTAGAAATTGCGTGGTCACTTTTCTTCATAACGTATGCTGTGCAGAGCTTTGAATTTTGTATATAATCCCGGATTACAATCAGGAGTGGGTGGGTGCAGTGCCGTCTCTACACCACGTTGATGCTCAGGTGTGAGTGCACAAGCCTGCTGTCCTCCTCAACGCTGTAGCTTTTAGGAGCTGCTAAACATAGTCGAACATTTCAGGGTTTTCACCGCCATAGAGAAGCGATACAGGTTTACAGATATAAAGAGAGAGGGACTGTAGGAACACTGATATACTCGTTGGTCGAAACGCATTCAGCGGTAAGTAATTTTAGCTTTATGATGTTATCTATTTCGTGAAATGGGTATGGAGGCTCGGTTGATATTATTATTATTATTATTATTATTATTATTATAGCACATAACTTCTCGGAGGTTATCTACAACCTACACATTGTGAAACATTATTTTTAAACACCGATATAGTACACTCGTACAGCACAGAAATGGCGATGCTGAGATTCAGCTCTAGATGAAAGCTATTGTCTTGGTTATAATTTGTGACGAACTGTTTGATGTTTCTAGGACATCTTTAAGACAGCATCCTTAAAGCTGTAAAGAGCAGATTGCGTTATATGCAGATTTCATTAGTTTACCAATAATGTTTGGTTGTCTTGCTGGGTATTGGCTGTGTAAATATTCAGACATACTGTAACATTGCTTGCAACATGTCTCTATTACACTCTTTGGAGCGGGAATGTTTTCCTCTTTTGACTCTCCGCAGACAATAGATCAGAAATCGTTTTAGAAATGATTGGGTTGCCGGCAGCTGGTAGGCTCCCGCGTGCAAATTCTTAAATTACAGAGGCTGATTTCAGGGATGCAAGAATGAAACGCGCTAAGATTTTTATTTAAGAATAATAAATTCGGGCTTTTGCAGATGGTCAGATATGGAGGGGTTGACCTGCACAAGAGAGAGAAACTCTCCCCACTCGTCACTAACGGCTCTTCCGCGCCGCTCCCGTCTCTGGTTCTCGATGTCCTTATCTCAGGCGCAGCGATACTCCGCGTGTAAGCTTGGTGGTAGGACGGTAATGAAACCACAGACCTCTTACTCCTCTAACCAAGAGATGTGCTCATGCCCGCTATCACGCATTTAATCCACTGATTGCTAACGTTTTGTCGTATATGTCAGTTTATATCGATCTATTATGAGTGCTTTTAAAAAAAAAAGGTCTTCTCGCGTAGAAAGGGTCTGACCCCTTCTATCAGAGCAGGTCACGCTAACCGTCGCTTTCTGTCGACCTCGTTTCCTACTGCGGTCCTGTATCGAGAGTGGCGGCCAGCCCTTCGCGGAGTTCCACCTTCGTCTCTGACCTATTTCCAGCTTCCTCCATCCTTATTCACACAACAAGCCTGCTTGCCTGGTCCTCGCCCCGATTTCATCGAGAAACCGACACTGGAGCCGTTGCAGTGGGTTTTCTTCAGTTCTGGATCTGGCCCATTTTAATCCAGTGCTCATAAAAAAAGAAAGAGAGATTTTCTGCAAGCTTACTGGAAAAAAAAGATGACACTGCGTCTTGCAATCCTTTGAGATTTTTCAGTTATATTTATAGCTGTAAGAACTCGTTCTTCATTCGCAGCATGAGTATAATTCATCATGGTTGAAGGTATATGAGCAACATAGCTGGGCACAAAGGTACATATCTCTCTCTCCTGAGGGTAAATGTTATTTCCGCCCAGTGGGCTGCAGCGCATCAGGGGAAGACACACTCCTGCGGCGCTTCTGCGACTCGGGTCATGAGCTTTGAAACGAAACGGTTAAATCGGCACAGCTGAGCAAGTAGATCTTGGCTCAGTCATATTAGACGTGAAACCGAAGCCCCTGCAGGATGAGGTCTGGGATGTCAGCAGTGCCCAGGGCAGGCCGGCTATGTCCTGCACACAGGGGGCTGGTCTGCCTGCCTCGCCGCTCTCCCACCCACACGTCTGTCATAGTGAGGAGATGCTGGAGAAGCCCACTGCCCAGCTGTAGTGGAAGCCATGACCACCAGCCTGTGGGTGTCAGAAATCACTTAGTTCTATTTTCACATTTCGGTGTTAGAAAGAATCAGCCATTAGCCATATACAATTTCTTGCATTATTTGAAGAATTAATCTTTCTCACATACCCCAGCCTGCTCTCCATGAGACACAGACACACAGACAGGAAGAGAAGCTTGAGGTCTGAGTGCAGGGTCAGCCACTATACAGCACCCCTAGAGCAGTTGGGATTAAGGGCTTTGCTCAGGGGCCCAATGCAGTAGGATTCCTCTGCTGGCTGCGGGATACGAACCGGCAACCTTCCAGCCATACTGTAGGTGCTGATCCTTAGCCACAGTGCCACCAGTCCGCCCCTCCTCAGGCACTGATGAGTGCATTGCCAACCACAATGAAAGTAAAATGGACACAGTAACGTGTTAAACCTCCAATCTACATCACAAAATAGTGGAAAAGTCCAGGTATGCACAGCGCCATGTTATGAAATTCAGAACGAGGCAACAGATCTTCCGATGAGGTGAAGTGGCCTTATTACATTGAAAACAAGCAGGCTTGTCAATCCATCCCTTTTAATCCAACAGAAATATTGCTCTCGACTTGGTTTTGCCAACAAATACAACTTAATTATCAACTCTGCATGCAGATCACACTGGAACATTTCTGAGGTCAAATGCCTGCTGTACAACCTCTACTTATCCGCTCGTACATCACATGACATTAGTCATTACAGTGACTAGTGAGCGAGAAGGGCAGCATCACATTGCTGTTCGCTCTCGGCCACGGAGAGACCAGGGGTTTGCAACAACACGACAGGACCTTCAGTACCTTCACGAAGTTAACAATGTTGTGCTTATTTCAGAATTTGTCAAATTCTGTGGTGCTGTCAATGAATTTATCTTGTTTTCGAGATTTAACAACTGGTCTGAGAAAATGAAGACAGTCCAGGAATTTGAGCAGTGACGGGTGTCTGTTTCTCCTCCGCTCCAGAGCGGGCTCTTCAGAATGAACAGAGCCATGGCGGCCTGCTGGACGCTCCTCCTGCTGTCGGCCTTCTTCTGCGACTTGGCCGTCTCCAAGGGAGGCCGGGGGGG